AGCGGGGCCACCCAGCTTCCAGATTTGTCTTGCCTGAGTCCTTCGTCCATCAGCTGCAGGAACTGCTTGTCTTCCAGAGATGGAGCAGGCTCGTTGTCGTCCTTCGTAGTCTGGAACACTGTAGCTCCCAAGCCAGAGTCTCTTTCAATCCAGGTGAAGTGATCTGGACATGGCTTCAGGTGGGAGGGTCGCCCATTGTCTAGGATGCTGGTGGCAAAGACGCTTGTCTGAATCGGCATCTGCAGGCGATCTATGCACACGTTCCCCACGATGACCCATCCAAGCTCTAGTCTCTGAGCATGCGGCGTGCCAGGAGGTCCTCTGAGCAGATCATGACCGGCCAATAGGTCAGGGATGTCCGTTCCCAACAGGAGCAAGATCTCCGCGTCGGGATCCAGGGGAGGAAGTTGGCTTGCAATAGGTGCTAAATGAGGATGGTGAAGCGCAACGTCTGGCGTGGGAATCTGGTCACGGTCATCTGGTAGAGCATCACATTCCAACAATGATGGTAGGGTGAACTGAGTTTTGCCATCGAGTGATTCTATCTGGAACCCAACGGCTGTCCTCCCGGCCGTGCACTGGACCCCGGCACACGTCTTCAGAGTGTACTGGAGTTCTTCACCCTGAATATTGAAGAGCTCGAAGAAAGCCGGACTGGCTAAGGACCGGTTGCTCTGCCCATCTAAGATGACGTACATCTTCGCGGTCTTTTCTGGATGCCCTGTAGGGAAAACCTTGGCGAGACATATCTGATGGCAGGACCGTTGAGTCTTCATGGCGCCACAAACCTGAGTACAATGGGTGCCAACCTGCTGAGTGGGAGTACTCGAAGCTTCTGCTGAAGTTGTCGTGGTGGGGGAGTCAGGCGTGGGTTGCTGTGGCGCGTCAGAGTCCAGATGCAGGGCACCAGGGTGCTTGGGGCTGCTACACACGTGACACTTGATAGCAGCTGTGCAGTCCTTAGATCTGTGCTCCTTGGACTCACAGCACCTGAAGCATAACCGGTACTCCTTGATCAAAGCCTTCCGCTCCTCCAACGGCTTTGTTCTGAACTCTCTGCACTTGTTCAGAGGGTGCGGTTTCTTGTGAAGCAGACAAAACGGCTCTGGCTTCTCCTTCAGCATCGTTGCCTTCCATTCCAGAGGCTTCTCCCTTGGTTCTGGCGAAATGGCAGACATCTCCGTTTTCTGCACAGAAACTGCTGTCTTAGCCCTGGTTCCTCGTTGAGGTGCCTTTTCAGTGTGAGAGCCCACACGGTTTGTAGACCATCCACACTGAGCATCGTTCCGAGTCACCGCAGCCTGTGCGACAAAATTGACAAGGTACGAGAAGGGAGGGTACGTACCCTGACATGCAACCTTGTAGCTGACTACTGCTTTGCTCCATTCGTCCTGCAGTGCAGGTGGCAACTTCTCCTGGATCTCCAAATGCACCGTGCATTCGTCGAGACTGGCGAGTCCTGGTAATGCTGGATCCTCTTTTGCTGCCTGCAGGTTTTCAAGGAGATCAGCTAAATCCCATAGCTTCTCAGGGTTCTCAGCCATTATCGGGGGGAAACTCTTCAATTGTTCCTTGAGTGCAGTCTCCACAGCCGTCGGGGATCCGTAACGGATGTCGAGCCGCGCCCAAACACGTGTCAAGGCCCTTTCCAGAGTCTTTATATTTGCGGAGTGGAGGTTCTTTGCTTGTTTTGTGGACTCTGGACCCAGCCACTCAGCCAAGAGTGTGAGTTGTTCAACTGCACGTAGGTTCATGTCCCTAATTGCTTCCAAGAAGGTCATCTTCCAAAGGTAGTAGTTCTCTGGACGATCCGTGAACTTCTGGACACCTCTATCAGCCAGGTTCCTCCTGATGTTCCAAGGTGCCGTGTAGCTGCCGAAGTGCGCCGGTACAGGACCCATGTATGCCTGTGTCGGAGCTGGTCCAGGCACTTACAATTAATCAATTCAATTCTCTGGCTCATGGTGAAAGAGATAGTGTGCTCCGCCTTCCTTGCAGTTTAAAGTGTAGACAAAGGAACGGAAGAAGCTGTAAAGCTCGAATTCCCCGCGTCTCTGGGAGCCGGAAATGTCTGTTGATCAGCCAGTTACAGGAATGCTATTGGATGTCTAACTAAAGACTTCAATTCCCAGAGGCCACTTCTCTTAAAGATATATGGCAGTTCTACTTAGCTAAAGTTAAACGCTGTTTGGGACAGCACAGTAGGCCTAAGAAAGCCTGAAGTTCGGTTTTAGACGTGGGAGCTGGAGCGTTGGAGATCGCCGCCGTTTTCTCCGTCGTTTCTCAATGTTTCTCAGTACTTTTCACTGGTGACGAAGGTGGGATTCTACCTTCCCTGAACAACGACCTGGACGAGACCAAGCATCGCACCGAGCTCCGATCCCAACCACCGCAAGCCGCGCCGCTTCGCTCTGGGATCACCGCCAATGCACCGCGCCTCGCTCCATCAGCTGAAGAGAACCTCCGCTCTTTTGCTTCCGCCCTTCTTCGCTTCCAGCGGTTTCGAGATGACATCGATCTCTAGACGTGACCATGTCTTCTCCAGTGACCTCCTCGGCATCCTCCTCCCCCTCCCCTGCCTCCGTCTCCGCCTCAACCTCATCCGAGGGCATCGCTCGGTTCGACCTCTCCCGTCCCGAGCAATGGAAAACGTGGGTGGTGATCCTAAATAACTACCTAACGTGTTTGGGAATCACCGACGCAGGTATGAAAAGGGCCCATCTCATCCGCTTATGTGGGATGGATGCCCTCCTTCTCCTGCAGGACTTGATTGCACCACGGAAGGTGGAGGAGGAGAGCTTCGATGTGCTCGTCAAGACTCTCACCGATCACCTCGCTCCGATGCCCACCAAATTTGCTGAACGAATGGACTTTTCCACGAGAGTCCAAGGCCCGGAGGAGAGAGCCGCCGAGTTCCTGGCGGGCCTACGACAGGCCGCCACGCAGTGTGCTTTCCCTAGCCTAGAGGACACACTGCTCAACCAGTTCCTGTTGGGCCTTCGAGAGGCGAAACTGAGGAGATGTTTGGTCAGGCAGAACGACCTGACGCTGGCTAAGGCGCTGCAGGATGCTGCGGCTTTTGAGAAATCGCATCAAGGCCGCGGCGGAACCATCGCACCCAAGCCGTCTCGGAGTCGGCTGACTCCGAGGAAGACGAGGTACTGCAAATTCGCCGCAAGCCTGCGCACCCACATCACTTGAGAGAAGCACCGCCAGAGAGGGCGCAGGAGCCAGCCCCACCATGTGCCAGCTGTGGAGAGGCGCATGAACGCCGGACCTCCTGTTTCCGGGATGCCATTTGCCGGGCCTGCAACCGGCAGGGCCACATCGCCAAGGTCTGCCGTGGCCGCCGACAGCAGAACAAGAGGTCGACGCACCAGGCAGAGCCGATCCACACCGTGGACCTCCACTCCGTCGACCTCCACACGGTCTCCCACCAGCCCCAGCCCCAGGTAGGTGAAGTGCCCCAGGACGGCCGAAACAAAGTCCACGTTTTGGTCCGTATAGAGGGGTCCCCCTGTAGCATGGAGCTTGATACCGGCTCCGAGTTTACGATTATATCAGAGGAAACACTGCGGAGAGTGTGTCCCAAGGGGGGGCCCCCTCTGCGCAAGCCAAATTTTAAATTACACGATTTTAATAAGAATCCAGTGGCTGTGCGGGGCTGGGGCAAGTTCATGGTGGAATTCCAGGACTTCAAAGGATATCTGGACATTCTAGTGGTGGGCGGGCGGGTTTCCAGCCCCCTAGGAATGTCCTGGTTTAAGCCACTGGGCTTGACCATAGGAGGGCTCCACCAGCTGCAGCGGGTAGATTTCATGGACGTTTGTAATGAGTTCCCGCAGGTTTTCAACGGCTCCCTCAGCAAGTTCACTGGGCAACCCATCTCCTTGGACTTGGATCCAAAGGTCTGCCCCATCCGGATCAAGGCCCGGTATCCACCCATTGCGATGAGGCCGAAAATCGAGGCGGAACTGGACCAGCTGGTGGCACAAGGAGTGCTGGAGCCGGTTGCGTCCGCCCATTGGGAAACCCCTATAGTCACCCCGGTGAAGCCAAACGGGGATGTCCGGATCTGTGCGGACTATAAGTGCACGCTGAACAAAGCACTACAAGACTATGCGTACCCCATACCGGTGGTCAGCCCATACCGGTGGTCAGCTGCCAGCACTTGCAGGAGCCCACATATTCGGAAAGCTGGACTTGGCACAGGCCTACCAGCAACTGCCGGTGGACGCCGCCACTGCAGAAGCCCAGACAATTGCCACTCATAAGGGGGCTTTCAGGGTCCACCGGCTCCAGTTTGGGGTTTCTGTGGCACCGGGGATTTTTCAATCTTTTATGGATTCTCTCCTCAAAGGTATCCCCGGAGTTCAACCCTTTTTAGACGACGTGCTAATCGCCGCCCCCGACTCTGCCTCTTTCGCCGACCGCCTCCGCACCGTCCTCCGACGCTTCGACCAAGCGGGGCTGAGGGTCAAGCGAGAGAAATGCCTGCTGGGAGTCCCCAAAGTGGAGTTCCTGGGGTTCGCGGTTGATGCACAGGGCATCCATCCCACCTTCGTCGCCAGTGAAAAGTACTGAGAAACGTTGAGTGATTTCAGCAAAGTACTTTTATTAGGATAGAACAAGACAAGGACTGCCGGCTCGCAGGCTGGTATATATGCCCCGCAAACCCACCACCTAAACACACCCCCTATTACACTATAGGCTATTTACAGTGGCCGAGAGTCCCATAGGCTCTCGGCCGCGGACCTGGCCCTCTGATTGGTGCGGGCTGGGATCCGCTCGGCTATTGTTCTCAGGGGAGCGAAGTCTGCTGCTAGGCATGACCGCATGGCCCAACGGTCGCGCACGTGGTCATGGCGGAGTACATTACAGTGGCCAACAGATATTTTGTTAGTGCATACATATAGATCATTCTAACAGTCAACAGACGCAATCGCTTTCTGAAATTTATTTATTTGGCTCTGTGTGCAGAGGTGGCAAGGTGACCACTTGTCAGTTTAAGCTGCTATATGGCATCTCCTCCTTGGAACATATGGCAGGGAGACGGAAGAAACATGAGCAGACAGAGCCGACTGGTTCCAAGAAATGCGACTTCACATGTTCTGTTGCCTGGAAGGAAGTCGATCAGCTGTCAGGAGAGAAAGAAAGAGAGAGGGTCTGTGTGTGTAAAGCACAGGCCGTTTTATTTTCTCAACTTTCTTATAATGCAGTAGCCTCCCACCTTTCAGAGTATGCCAGATCCCTGAATTTAGGGTCATCGCATTTCTCACGGCATCTGGCATAAGGCTGCCAGTCCCCGGGCTGTTGAATAGATGGTATGACTTCACTTCTACACACACACAAAATAATCAAAAAAGCTGTCATACATCTCTAGGGAGCCGTGACATCACTTCCAGGTTTTCCCTGGAAGTGATGCTACACCATCAATGACCGGCACCTGTCAGGCCCCCAGTCCGCTCACTTGTTGGGGGACTTTGGGGGGGACTTTTTGGGGCACCACACATCTGGGAAAGGAGGTGAAATTTGGAGGAAACTTATGACTTCTAGAAGCAAAAGTCTCATTCTCTCACACATTCACTCACCCCTCCCACCAGGAATCCCCCCCCCGTTAACTATGGCAACCAAGGCGAATGAAGAGAAGAATGATTTGACATTACCCACCATGTCCCCACCTAGGGTTGCTGTTCCCCCGCCAGGGTCGGGGGATTGCCCACTTTCAGGGCCTCTGATCCACCGGCAGGATCCGGGCAGTGGGGGAACCCCTCCACCAAAGTGCCTCACCCACACCAACGTGACTGGTGCAATGACGTCACCTGGAGGTGACATCATCGTGCAGGGCACGTTGCAGGTGGAACACTCTATCGTTCGAGGAAAAAACTCTATGGTTACCATAGAGTTTTTTTCAAATGATAGAGCGTCCCCCCCCAATTTGCTCTGCACGATGACGTCACTTTTGGGTGACGTCTTCACGGTGCACTGACAAAGCGCATGCGCTGAGGCACTCCTGGAGAGACAGGGGGAACACCCCCCCCCCACTGGCAGCCAGGTAAAACCTGGCAACCCTATCCCTACCCCACCCATCTCTTGCTGGTTGCCAGGCTGGGTAACCCTAAATATGTCAGGTGGAAGTTAAGATGTCAAGAAAAATGGCAGCCCCTCACTCCCAGTTCCCCACTGTCACTCAATTATGCTCCCTTCTAGAGGCCCCCAGCATTCTGGTTCCTTTGCCTATCCAGTTCAGCCCCAAATCCTTCTGCCCATACAGATGCCAGCTTCCAGGTGGGACCTGGGGATCCCCTAGAATTACAGCTAACTTCCAGACTACAGAGATCAGTTCCCCTGGAGAAAATGGATGCTCGGGAGGTTGGACTCCATGGTGGTGTGTCCTACTTAGGTCTTTGTCCTCCCAAAGCTCCTGTTTCCCAGCCTGGATCTTGCAACCTTATGTCCCCATCCCCTGCTGGTATCCAGGGGGGACCTGGCAACCCTTCCATGGTAGTCCAGGTGCCCCAGTTCTCAGTTGCCAGTATACTGAAGGGTGTAACTCACTAGGCCACAGTGGGATGGGGCTGTCTGTAGTCCACAGTGAAACTGTCTGTGTTCCCATTCTCATCGCTGATCAGGACCTCTGCATAGGGAGAACAGCAGTTTGCGCTATGAAAGGAGGCAAAAGAATGACAGGTGAGCTGGTAGGTTGGGTGGAGGGAAAGGCCTCTTAGGCCTTAGGCATTGGCAGAAGTTGGGAGAGCTTTAGACAGAGGAACTGGGCAGGAATATAGGAATTTTCAGGAGGCCGGAAGCAGGACTCACAGGTTTAATCATATATATGTAGGAATCGCAACTACTACACATGGGGAAGTGAAATGAAAAATAGTCAGAGTACATATGTGTGCTTAATTTTGGTTTCAACTGTTAAAAAAGCCCTGAAGGACAATACAGGAACGGCGCACTACAAATCAAATAAAATTGCTCAAAAGATATGGAATCTGTATGTCATGGCAAAAATTACAGACAATTTAGAACGTTTTTCTCAGCCTTCTAAGCACTCCACACACTTTAAAGAGATAAATGTTTTTTTTTTTAACTTGATGTATTATACAGGTTCTGCCTTATATTTAGTATGTACAACTTTGAGTGAATCTAACTTTATTTCAGCATGGTATTGCTATTGTTTGGTATTATACTGTTTGTAATCATTCAGCTTCATATGTATTGTGTGTGCAAGGTTCTTTGCTTAAAAACTAATAAAAAATGTTAATCACCAAAATAGCCCAATGGCTATACCTTTGTAATAAACACTGGAGTGCTGGGGAAAATAGGGAACAATACCGCTTAACATTTCCATAGCACTTTTAAGTGTTCAAAATGTTTCACTGATTATTTTGTAATCCTTCTAGCAACCAGGGGTCATTTCCTGCGGGAGTGCACAAGAGCGGAGCTCCGGCAGTAAGGAGCCCGGGGGGCGGGCACATGCAACAAGCCCCGCCCCTGCTCCCAGCAGCCCCCAGTTGGGCCACGAGGAGCAAGAAGCAGCCAGGTAAGCTGCAGAGCCCCCCCCCCGCCTTAAGGTACAAGCTCTCCTTCCTCTGTGAGGGCAGATCTGCGCGTCCCCCCCCCATAGCTAGCAATCCCAAACAGTGCAGTGGCACCTTTAAGACCAAGTTTCATTCAGGTACAAGCTCTCCCTCCTCTGTAAGGGCAGATCTGCACGTCCCCCCCCCAATAGCTAGCAATCCAAAACAGTCCAGTGGAGCCTGAGCGGTGGGTGTTGCCTTCTGACACACTTCCAGTGATGTCAGGGGGTGTGGTATATGCAAATAAGTTATGCTAATAAGTTATGCTAATGAGCTCCTGCACCTCTTTTTCTACGAAATGACCCCTGCTAGCAACCCTGTGTAATCTTATGCCCATGGGGGGGGGAGATAATGGGTCCCTGTCAGGCTATTTCAGCTTCTAAAAGCAGTGCAGAAAAGAAAGGCTTAGTCCAGGCCTGTGTATATGTGGGAGTTGTGCCCATCAGAGAACTCCTTGAACATCTGATAGAAGCACATTGGGTGGTCATAAGGACATTATTATGTGTGAATTGGCTCCAAGAGTTTGTGGCTTCCTTAAGGCTACCTAGTGAGTTCATGGCTGATGTGAGAGTAAAATCATGGCCCTACTGATTCATAGTTCAGTCACTGGGCAATTACAACACTCCACCATTCAGACATACGCTTTCGATATAGGCAGTAACTATACATGTTCAAGTTTGCTGTAGAAGGACAGGGGTGTAGAAGGACAGGTTGCCACCTTTGGGTGGGGAAATTCCTCTAGATTTTGGGGGTGGAGCCTGGGGAGGGGAGGGGCCTCAGCAAGGTACAATGCCATAGAGTCCACCCTCCAAAGCAGCCATTTTCTCCAGGGAAAGTGATTTATATCACCCGGAGACCAATTGTAGCAGGAGATCTCCAGGCCCCACCTCGAGGTTGGCAATCCTAGTGAATATAGAATGATGAAATTTCATACTCTGAGCATTTGGCAGGTCTTAGTTCTTGGGCACTTTTAGAGCTGGAAAGTTACTTGATTTTTATAACCAAATCTGTGACATGCTAGCATGAAAAGAACCAATGAACGGATCTAGAATTCCACGTCTGGGGCAGCCCAGCACTGGGAGAAAACGGATGAATCCAAGTTCCCAACCCAATCCGGCTTAGCACTGGTCATAAAGGCCAAGTTAAAAAATGTTTTACAGTCTTTGGAAAGGCGCTGGCTTCTGCCTTTGGTGAATCTCCAGAGAAACAAAACGTGAGCAGAGCTACTGAGAACTGAATTTTGCTGAACTTGATGGATAAACTCCAGAGGGCGCTGTTGGTTTAAGATTGCTTTCAAGCATGCCGGTGAGGCATTTCCACACATAGCTAACGCTTGTGAGGAAAAAGCATGCAAAGTATATAGACTGCCGAATAGGATAATGGTACATACGGATATTGTTTTGTTAATGTAAAGGCTTGGATCAGGCACTCAGGCCTAATAACTAGTAAGTATATGAAGCAGGTAGTTCTCTCAGCAATGCTGATCACATCAAAAGCAGTTCTCAGAACTCATAATGGGGTCTGTTTCTGAGGGCATAACTATACATGTACCAAGTCATGAGTGTGTGACTGAACACACCTTAAAAAGTGCTCGTTTGCTTGACGCTGCTAGGGAACACCGTTAGAAGGGACAAGGAGCTTCCAGTAAACCAAACCCTTCGCCGTGCTCCTACAGTGTGAAATGAATGCGCGCTTTTTAAGGTGAGTTCCCCCCCAAGTATATCTGTGAGCCCGATCACACACTTGTTACCTGGCACATGTCAGGAGTATTGTGTGGTTACACCCTCAGATACACTGGATAAATATGTAATGGAAATGTGACGAAGGAAGTTGGGTAGAAAAGGAATACCAGGCAGTTTTTGCTGAGAGAAGTCCCATCCCCTCTTTAACTAATGCAACTTGGCTCATAAACCTCTGGCAGATATTCCAAACATATTCTCAAGGCTTTTGTGTCCAGCTCTCCTGAAAACTAGCTTTTTAAAAAGAACAAAAATTATGAAAACAGGATCCTTTCTCAGCTGCTCGATGCCTTATCAGAGATTTTTTACTACATTTCCGGGATGCTGGTCATGTGTATACGTACTCGTAATGACAGATGACATCCTTGCTGTCATTCGTCCTCCTTGGCTGGCAAGACAGACGAGAGGGATCGGTGTTGATACGGACGGTGACAGCACTGTGAGCATCTTTGGCAGAAAACCTCATGTGCCAGATGTGCCGAGAGCAGTCTGCTTGATGCTGGATTTGGCCCACGCAAGGCATGTAAAAGTTGAGAAGCCTGTGGACTGGTGGGATGTCATCTGTCTCCTGGAGTAAGAGTAGTTAATGCCACCAGTGAGTAACAATCCATAAACTCTTCCGTCAGTGCATGCGTATATGTTGGGTTTAGCAAGTTAAAAACACTTCAGTAATTATAGAGTTAACTTTGTTTATGTTAGTCAACAGGAAGTCACGTGTTTATTGTACCCAACCTGTCCCTGAGAAAAGCCCCAGAATCTTGTAGGAGGTCTTATTATAATGACCTGAACTTTAGCCCTGTGTTTGGAAATCAATGTATTGGCTATTTAGCATATTGGGGTCCTCCTCCTCTCTTTGTTTGTTGGAGAAGAAGAGGCGCCATTTTCCCTGTAGCATCTTCTTAGCAGTAATGATGTAGGGGTCTAGTGCTTTGTTGTTTTGCATCCTGTTTACCTTTCCCCCATGCTTTCTCCCCCTCTCTCTTTCCCCCTCCCTCCCCCATCTATTTGCTTTCTTTCCACCTTTCTTTCTCTTTTTGTCTCTTTCTCCCTTTCTTCCTCTCTCTCTTCCTTCTTTCCCCCTCCCTCCCTCCCTTCCCCATCTATTTGCTTTCTTTGTTTCTCTCTCTTTCTTTCCACCTCTCTCTTTCTCTCTGTCTTAGACAAATATCATTAGCAAACAAATAAATATCATTATCAATATCTGTCTTTACCCCTTTTGCTTTAATTTATGGCAGTGTCATTTAATGTTAATAAAAAAGCAAATTTCCATATTTTTTCTATAAAAATGTTTGTATAATATTTGTTCATGTTTTGCAGCTCTCAAACATCTGACGTTTATTCTATGTGGCCCCTTGTCTAGCTAGTGGGAAAATATGTTCACCGTTTTCAAGGGCACTCTACAATCCTCATTTCAAAAAAGATATATACACAGATCCTGTTTTTCAGATTCTTCTGTTAGCTGATGGGTCACCTTTCATCTTCATTTCTGGTTTCGAGCTGGTAGACAATGATAGCTGCCCATGAATCAGCAACTCCAGTCAAGCGCAAGGCATTTTTCACAGTTATTTGAAAAGGTGTGTTCTTGCTTTGCTTGAACTCAGCCCTTAGAGAAGTTGGTGCATACAAGGATAAACCATCCAGATAAACAGTATCAAAAACAAACCCGAGTTGCCGCATGACAGAGTGAGCTCCTGTCTCTAGTTCCAGCTCCTGCCAACCTAGCAGTTTGAAAGCAAGAAATTGCAAGTAGATAAATAGGTACCACTTTGGTGGGAAGGTAACAGCGCTCCGTGCGCCTTGGTGTTTAGTCATGCCGGCCACATGACCACGGAAATGGCTTTGGGCAGTGCTGGCTCTTCGGCTTTGAAACGGAGATGAGCACCGCAACCCTAGAGTTGGACTAGACTGGCTTTCGAGCAAGGGGAACCTTTACCTTTACCTTTACCTATAACAGCATTCTGTGCGCCTTGGTGTTTAGTCATGCTGGCCACATGACCACGGAAACGTCTTTGGACAGCGCTGGCTCTTCGGCTTTGAAACGGAGATGAGCACCGCAACCCTAGAGTTAGATCTGACTGGCTTTCAAGCAAGGGAACCTTTACCTTTTATAACCACTCAGGTAATCAATACAGCCAGAAGGTTGTTTTTTTTTTTAACTTTTCTTAAAGCGTAAGGCTTTACCTGGTTTGTAAAATTCACCTTTTTCACAGTATGAGGTGTGAAGCAAAGCTTCTCCTGAGCATCTCAAGATAACTCCTACATATGGTTGCCAGCTTCCAGGTGGAGCCTGGAGACCTCCCGCTTTTACAACTGATCTCCAGCTGACAGAGATCAGCTGCCCTGGGAAAAATGGTTGCCTTGAAGGGTGGACTCTGTGGCACTGTACCATGCTGAGGCCCCTCCCCTCCCCAAACCCCACCCTCTCCTGGCTCCACCCCCAAAGTCTCCAGGTATTTCCCAACCCAGACATGGCAACCCTATTCCTACAGGAAGAATTGTTTTCTCAAATAATTATGTGGGATTACTCAGTCAGGAGCATATATGGCCCGGTGGCGGAAAGTGCTATCAAGTTGCAGCCAATTTATGGTGACCACATAGGGATTTCAAGGCAAGAGAGGAACAGAGGTGGTTTCCCATTGCATCTTTTGTGAAGCAACCCTGGACTTCTTGGTGGTCTCCCAACCAAATACTAACCAAGGCCCTAGCTTAGATTCTGAGATCTGACGAGATTGGGCTAGCCTTGGCCTAGGGTTGCCCTGGCAACCAGCAGGTGATGGTGGGGACATTGGCAGCAAAGTGAGACCTAGGCCGGTATTGCTGCTGATGCAGCGACGTTGCTTCTGGTGCATCTGGAAGTGACATCACCATAGGGTTGCCAGTTCCCTACCTGCTGCCAATGGAGGGACGGAGCTTCCTTTCTGGGTCCCAGAAGTGATGTCATTGCGCTAGGCATGTCGCCAGGGGGATGCTCTAGCATTCGGGCAGAAACTCTGATACCATAGAGTTTTTAGGCCGAGTGCTAGAGCATCCCCCTGGCAATGTGCCCGGTGCGATGATATCACAACCAGGTTACGTCATCTCACTGGGCATGTTGCCACGATTCTGACACTTTGGGAGCAGGGTTTCCCTCGCCAGGCGGATCCGGACTGGCGGATTGGGGCCCCCTAAAGCGGGCAAACCTCTGCCCCCCTGGGGGAATGGCAAGCCTACATTATCATATTGCCAGGGATGTGGGGATGTGATGATGTCACTTCTGGTGTGTGCTAGAAGTGACATTGACACATATCCAGCAATGCTGGGCTACTAAGGCTAGGCCTTCTTTTGCTGCCTGTAAGTCCCCTGCTGGCCAGCCGATTGCTGCCAGAAGAGACCCCCTAGAGCAGGCGATTCCCCACCCCTGGCAGGGGCCTGGCAACCCCACCTGGCCCATCCATGTCAGAACACGACATATAGGGCACAAACACTCACAAATGATACCTTGAAGTACGAATTATAAGGAAAACATATAAAGTCTATCACAGATGGTATTGGTCACCGGATAGGTTAGCCAAATGTAACTCGTCCCTTTCTAAGAATTGTTGGAAATATAGTAATAATGTAGGCACCTTTTTCATATGTGGTGGCAGTGTACAAAAATACAGGTTTATTAGAAGATGGTACAAAGAATAATCTTAGGAATAACTAATGTTAAAATTCATTTGATTCCAGAAATTGTATTACTAAATATGTTGCCGGAAAGTTATAAGTCAAAGGACAAATATATGATAATATATATACTCACTACTGCAAGAATGCTGTTAGCCAGGTATTGGAAGCAAGAGTATATTCCAAAGCAAGAAGAGGTTATATGTAAACTGCTTGATTTGGCAGAGATGGACAAGTTAAGTCTTATCCTTCAGGGGAAGGACGAAAAAGTTTTTTGGGAAAGATGGAGGCGTCTATATGAATAGATTAGTTCAAATAGATAATAAGAGACTCCGAGATAGCTAGGAAGACGTATGGATTGATGAATAATGTATTTTGTGGAAAATAAAGATTGGGAAAAAAAACCAAAAACAAATGATACCTTGAATCGGGCCTGAAAGTGAGCCGGAAAAGCAGTTTATTTAAGTGGGTGGGAGGAATCCCAATTCCTATTTATGCAAGACTTTTTCAAACTAGGAGGCAGAATATCAGCTGTGAGCCAGGAGTTAAAAGCAGCTATCGAGTATCAATGTGGAGTCTGTACTCACCAGGGCAGTTTCAGGAATCACTGTAATGGGCAGTTTCAGGTAGTTCTGGGCTGAGGAGCTTCTAGCTGTGAATGTTGCAATGCTGGGGGGGGAAAAACCCAGTGGCTATGAAGGGAGGAGTGCTTACAAGAGAATGAGGTATCCGCAGGACAACCCAGCACACCCCTTCCCATTAATCTAGCGATTCCAAATGTTAGTTCTGCTTAGCGTTGCCAGCCTCCAGGTGGTGGCTGGAGATCTCCTGGGATTACAACTGATCTCCAGGCGACAGGGATCGATTCACCTGGAGAAAACGGTCTCTTTGGAAGGTGGACTCTATGGAATTATTCCCCATCGAAGTCCCTCCCCTCCCTAAACCCTCCCCTCCTCAGGCTCCTCCCCCCAAATCTCCAACTATTTCTTAACCTCGAGCTGGCAACCCTAGTTCTGTTGTCCCATTGATAGAAATATATCTGATTCTCAGCATGGCCCCATCTTTGGATACTTAAATCTGGAGACTAGAGCCACAGACAGACAAGGGCCAGGTTTGGAGAAAAATTTGAAATCTATTTTTTAAAAAACCAATTTAAAATATTGGGGTGTAGGTTGCCAAGCATGGAGGCATGGCCCAGCAACCAGCAGGATATTGGAGGGGGTGGGAATATAAGGGGATTGCCATCTGTGAAGTCAGCCCTTTCTGGAGTTTCTGACAATTCCTAGAGAGAACTGATAGGACTTTTGGGTTCCCCCCGGAAATGATGTCATGCTGTTGGGCCAACAACCACATTTGTTTATTTCCCCCCCACTGCTGCTCTGAGTGGTGGTGGGAAATGGGATTGGGTAGCAGGGGTTTCCCCCACTCCCACTGGGGTCTTGGTGGCCCTAGCGGGGCTGGGGGGGCTTAAAACCCTCCAACCATGATAGAAGCATTACCTGTAGCTATAAAAAAGGAATGCCCTCTGTGGCTGCTGCTACACAGCCTTAACAATATTGCCAACCTTTCAGCCTTGTTTTTTTTGTCAATAAAAGGCAAGGGGAGGAGGCTTGACCCGGCAACTGGTACCATGCAAACTACAGTTGATCAGATGCTAGCAGGCATAGTGCTTCTCTCCATGCTGCAAAAGGCTTTAGTAGCTGACTTCTTCTCATCAAGCTGATGTCAAAGGCACAACGATCAAGCAGTTCAGGCCCCCTCTCCAAATTCTAGCTGAACTTCAATGAATCTCTTTAGGGAGGTGATAAATGTCCTATTTTTGAATGTAAAAATTCTGTTTGGGATTACAAATATGAGGATGTCAACCCCCCAGTCAACTGGGTCACGTCCTGTAAAGCTGAAGTTTCCAGCTCACAATCACTAGAGAAGATCAGGGAAGACATTTACCTGTAATCTTGAGTAAATTCTACTTTAGGACAATGTTGTACTTGATCCAAGTATGCTATCTTCTAGGGGTGTACAAAAAATATTTTTTTTTTCTGATTCAGATCTATTGGACCCCCAAAATATCGGTATTCACAAATATTCCTGAATACCAATATCGGTTTTGTATTGGGACTCGGGTAAATATTTGGGAAACCTGAATTTATTCGGCTCCATTATACCCTATGGGGACAGTCCCCATAGGTTATAATGGGGAAGGGATTGAAACTTTAAACAGTCTGTTTAAATACCTTCTAGCCACACCCAAATAAAAGCTGATATTCAGTTTTTATTCGGGCGCAGCTATTTCGGTGGCCGAATAAATACCCCCAAAATACCAATGAGGTATTTTTGGGTATTTATTCAGCTTGGTATATACCAAGCACACACCCCTACTATCTTGTTGGATTACTCTGTTAAGACTAAACTGCCTTCAAGAGAGGAATACATGAAGCTGCCTTATCCTGAGTTAGACAATTGGTCTATCACGATCAATATTGTCTACTCTGATTAGTAGCAGATCTCCAGGAGCCTCACACAGTGGCCTTTCACTTCACCTGCTCCCTGATTCTTTCATTTGGAGTTGCTGGGGAGAAAATCGAGGACTTTCTACATGCCAAGCAGATGCTCTACCACTCAGCCATAGTATTGTGGAGTGCTGTCTATTGAAAGAAGCTTTGTGGTGGTTTTTCAGGTTGCTGGGACAACAACCTGCTGCAATTTGGATAGTGGGAAGAGTATTATTGCTAATCCCACCTACTCTTCTTGCTGCTCTTTTGAGTGCGCAAATGAGTGAGTGGTACACTCCTGCTAGGTGAAGGAAGCTTACTGGGGTGCAGGCAGGCTTATTGCTTATCTGTGAAGAGGCTTCTTTCCCAAGAATATATACACAAGTTGTAGTGAACCCTGCAAGGGACCCATACGTGACCTTTTAGTAGAGAAGCGGATGGAATGGGCGTCACCCAATCAATCCCAGTTGTACTGCTGAACTCACACTGCCCTCTGTTGGTCAACCATTGCCCTCCCTTGAAACTCCTGTTTCCTGCCCAATGAGACTTCAGATCTTGGCGATACATTCACATGTCTTTTCAAAGTACCCCTCCCCCCGGCAGCCCACCCTACACCACCATTCAAGAAAACCTCCCCCTACCTGGAGGCAAAGCTGCTGTTCTCTCCAGTTGCCAGGAAGGTAGCAGTGAGGATGAGAGTTCCCCCTGGATTTAACACACTTCCACTCGGCCTGAAGCTCTGCAGGAGACCCAGGTCATCCCAGACATTGAAAGAAAACGATGCTTGTGACCCATCATTCACCACGAGGACAGAGACTTCCAGAAGTCCACCAGGTGGCATTGTGCCTGGGAAAACATGACAAAATCCTCACACTGGGGACAGTTAGTGGTATATTGGGGATAGAAAGTGGCTGGATGTGAGTTTGGGATGGAGTATAAGTACTGGCCATGGCCCTCTTTGCCTTCCTTGGTGCCATCTACTCCCTTCAAAGGCTTTTCCCAAGAAGCTTTTCCTCTGAGTCCTCTTCCTCACCTGAGAGGTAGCCTGAGCTCCTGGCTTTACATTTGTTCATATCCATCCCATATTGAGAATTGGGGTGGCAGAAGTTCATCTGGATTGGCCTCCCCCTGCTCCATCATGCTCTATCATGCATTGTTATGTTCAATCTTGTTTTGTCTCTTCACCCACCCATTTGCCTCAGTATTAGTTAACATCTACTGTTGCATACATGTAGACCCCGTGGGAGCAGATGTATTACTTTGTATTACTGACTGCCATCTTATTGTCTAATGGTCGATAGATGTCTATAGTGTTTTAGAGATTATTTTATATCTAGGTAAATTGTTGCTGTCTATATTTTTGTATTTACATTGTTGTAGCCTGCCCTGAGCCTTGCTGTGCAGGGGAGGGCGGGCTAGAAATCAAATCAATAAATATCAGCTACTCCTCCCTTCTTATCGTTGTCTGGTCCCGTCCTGTTTCCTGTGGTGAATGTTGAAGGCACTCTCTCTCCTTTACTGAAATAAACAATTAACTTACTGGCAGCCTAGCATGTGTTAAAATATTGGTTATGCCAGTAAAAAAAAATAACCATTCACCAAAGGTAAATATGTGTGTGTGTGTGTGTGTGTGTGTGTGTGTGTGTGTGTGTGAAGGGTCGTCAAGTCGCAGCCAACTGATGGCGACCCCAGCAAGGGGTTTTCAAGGCAAGTGAGAAGCAGAGGTGGTTGGCCATCGTCTTCCTCTGCAGAGTCTTCCTTGGAGGCCTCCCTTCCAAGTACTGACCCTGCTGAGCTTCTGAGATCTGATGAGATCAAGCTATACCATGCTGCCTTCCCCTCCCAAGAGGTAAATATAGGTGAGTGGATTCCAATGACAGTATAATGGGAGCCATTTTAACAGGCATATTTATTTATTTATTTATTTGGATTTATATCCCACCCTCCCCAAAGGCTCAGGGCGGCTAACAAAGAGGCACAAGTGCCAAAGTTAAAACAGATAAAAACAGAATAAAGCAATACAATACGAAACACTAAAGTGTCGGTGCTCTAGATGTCACAGAATCAGTAGTTGCAAGATGAGGGGTCTGGTAAAAGTTATTAATTCCAGGCCAACAGCGTACCTCCTAGCAGCACAACCATCCCATCTTCATCCAGGGACGTCTCACACCCCATTTAATATCCGCACAATTGGTGGTCGAGGTGCAATAATGGGGGGTAGCGATGATGGCTCCTACTCAAAAGCCTGGCGGAAGAGCTCCATCTTGCAGGCCCTGAGGAACTGCATAAGGTCCTGCATCTCCTCCGGGAGCTCGTGCCACCAGGTAGAAGCTGCCACCGAAAACGCCCTGGCACTGGTGCCAGCAAGATCAGTTCCCCTAGAGTGCCCCCGAAAACGCCCTGGCCCTGGTGACAGCAAATTTGATATTCCTGGGGCCTGGGATTACCAGGAGATTTTGACTCCCCGACCGTAGTGCCCTTGGGGGAACATGGGATGTCATGCTACCTATAATCCTCCCAATATGAGTGGTCACCATTTAGTGTGAATAGTGCAATGTGCATTGTGAGGTGCTTGCTATTTGGGGAAACGGTTTTACCTTTAAACACTCTCTGTGTATATAAACTTTGTAGTTTTCTGCCGCCAACAGGAATTAAAAATTCAAAATCTCTCCCTTTTGGTAGTATGACCTAGGTTCTGGGCACTTCAGAAGACTATTTGGCTCTGAGGAAGTACTGTACTGATTTCTGGGATAAGTCTAAACAAAAATTGATTTATTTAATAAAGAATAAAATAGGGTTATTTTGAACAGTTGCTGAAGAAAGGAACTTGTAAATATAACTGGCAAAACTTGGTGCCACAAACAGTCTCTCAAACTCCAAACTCCACTCTGACAGGCTTATACACTCATATATATAGCCACACAGGCTAGTCTCTTTGTTTTATTCACATTGAATAGAATCAACTCTCTTAGTCACACAGACTAAACTGTTGGTCTTATTCACACAGAATTAAAATCAGAATTCCATAGACACACAGACTATGTTCTCTCTTCAAGCTTCACATACAGAATCCTTCATAACTCTCAGTCACACAGACTCTCCTCAAAACCCTTCCATACTTGTCTCTCTCATATCACAGAATCCCCTCATAGACACACACAGAATCCTCTCAGACACCCCACCTCCCATACTCTCCGTCAGCAGCCAATCAAATCATACTTGTCACCCTCTATCACTCTTCTCATATTACTGCATTCAAACTAAACATTTAAAGGAACACACACACCAAAACATGGAATCATTACATGCATGTTTTCCAGCTTGGGTACACAAGATCAGATACTCAGATGTGGGGTGGGGTGCATTTTCTATGTACCAAAGCCGGAAAAACTTATGTTGCCTTATACAACAAAATTATGATTGCACACATCAGGATAATGCAATCACCCTTTATATATGGTTGTGTAAACTGCAACAATGGAAAAGGGCTAAAATGGAAGCTGTTTTAGTATGCATAGCAGGATGTTGTGCTACCCACAGTCCTCCCAATATGCACTTTCTGTGTACCAAAGCAAGAATAACACATGTTGCCTTACACATACAAAACGGTGATTGCACACATCGGGATAGTGCAATTGCCCTTTATATATGGTTGTGTGCCAAAACTATGCAACAGTGGAAAAGGGCTATAAATCAACAGCCATCTCCTAATCTCTTACAAACCATCCAACATAATCAGCCAGGGTACATTTATTTATTTAGTTAAAACCTTCCTTCCTTCCTTCCTTCCTTCCTTCCTTCCTTCCTTCCTTCCTTCCTTCCTTCCTTCCTTCCTTCCTTCCTTCCTCCCTCCCTCCCTCCCTCCCTCCCTCCCTCAATGTATTTATAATTTTATCAGTTATATAAATTTCCCATACCCTATTATATCAAAGCAGAAATTTCCACTCAAATAGGGCCTTCAAGCCAGAAAACATCAAAATACCTGGAGACTTTGGGGGGTGGATCCAGGAGACGGTGGGGTTTGGAGAGGGGAGGGGCCTCAGCAAGGTACAAGGCCATAGACTCCACCCTTTAAGGCAGCCAATTTCTCCAGGGGGGCTGATCTCTGTCAGCTGGGGATTAGTTGTAAAAGCGGGAGATCCCCAGGCCCCACCTGGAGGCTGGCAACCCTATTTTAAGCATTAAACATTTAAAAATTATATGAACTAAAGGATTCTCGAATTCCTTGCTGTTTAGATACATAGATTGTTCTTATAGTTAATGACTACATCCGGAGAAGATAGGAACTGGGAGGGAGCCATACAGGGTTGGTGGAATCCCTTGGTTCTGTTAGGGTGGGAATAAAAGTGTGAGGTGACTGGAAGTAGGGATTCCATCCTCCAGGTGGGACCTGGAGATCCCCTGGAATTACAGCTGCTCTCCAGACGACAGAGATCAGTTCCACTGGAGGAAATGGATGCTTTGGAGGGCGGACTCTATGGCACTGTGCCCCACTGAGGTCCCTGACCTCCCCAGCCTCCACCCCCAAATCTCCAGGAGTTTCCCAGCCTGGAGCTGGCAACCCTACCCCCCCATCCCCCGCCGGTGGCCGGGGGGGTCTGGCAACCCCGACTGGAAGGAAAGTTATTTTTGGTATATTCCATCTCAGTTGGAGCTTACCATTTTGGCCTGGTATAGGCACAAGCTTTACGGACTCTGTGCTGACAGGATCTGCGTTGACTCGAGAAAAGGCGAGACCTCCTGGAGACAGGCCTTCCACATGCAGCAGGGTAGTCTACAACAGAAAGAAGGAATTACTGAAGCTCATATATACTCTTTCTGTGATATAAGACTTATTGGACTTACTCTCCTCCCCCCAACTGTCTGAAACAAAAAATAATAATGCATTTTACTATGAACTCTAAATGCCTAAGAAGTTGTAACTATGTTTGCTATTTAAGTTAATGATATCAGGAATAATTCCAATGGTAGCCTATTCGAGATAAGTAGCAGCTTTGAATAAATTTTCCTTTCCCACCCAAACCATTGATTTTAACAGGGCTTAGTTGCCCTCAAAGGAGAGAAGGTCCATGACTCAGTGGCAGAACAACGGCTTGGCATGCAGAGGGTCCCAGCCTCTCCAGTTAAAAGGACTTCCGGTTAAGATGGCAAAGTAATCAGAAGCAACTCTGTGCCAGTCCTGTCTATTTTTCATATCATGCTTTCATTTGGACCCGTTTTGTTTGATCTTGCGGCCATTCGCTCTCACTTTAGTGTTTTCCTTTTGTTTGTTATTATTTCTTCTGATGTGGGCTCTCTCTAACCTCTGGAATCTTGTGAGCATTTTTATCAGGAACAATGTTTTGAATTTCACAGACCTGTGAATAATCATTTCTGAGAGAGAGAGAGGGGGAGAGAGACAGAGAAAGAGAGACAGAGAGAGACACAGAGAGAGAGAGAGAGAGAGACAGAGACAGAGACACAGAGAGATTTTGCCCATCTTTCAGGAAAAAAGCAAATCTCCACAGGAATACAGGAACAAATTTTGTATATCCCTGGCACTGGCATGTATAAGGATGAGTCACTGGTGGCCAAGATCAAGTTAATTCATACTATTCTCCATTACTATGTAGAGGTCTAAAAGTTGGACAGTGAAGAAAGCTGACAGGAAGAAAGTAGATTCCATTGAAATGCGGTGTTGGAGGAGAGATTTATGGATACGGGGGACGGCCAAAAAGACACACAAGTGGGTTCCAGATCAAATCAAGCCTGAACTCTCCCAGAAACTAAAATGACTAAACTGAGGCTTGTGTACTTTGTTCACATTATGAGAAGACAAGAGTCACTGGAAAAGACAATAATGCAAGGAAACGTTGCAGGCAGCAGGGAAAGTGGAAGACCACCCAGCACGAGATGGATGGATTCAATCGAGGAAGCCACCACGGCCCTCAGTCTGCAAGACCTGAGCAAGGCTGTTAATGACGGGAATGTTCTGGAGGACGTTAGTCCATGGGGTCACCATACGTCGGAAGCAACGTGACGGCACGGGGCGCGCGCACACAGCACCGGCAAGCTCTACATGGCACAGCTCTTTATCAAGGAACCAGTAGAAGAGAGTACGCACCGCTGCCTGGAAGGAAAGGGGAGCGACGGCCAAGAGGCTGCCCGTGGCGTCAGAAGTTTGGTTCAGGGCGAGGGAGCCCATGGAGTCCCCCTGTTCGGACACCGAGACCAGGCGTTGGATCTCAGCACCTTCGGATTCTCCCGTCATCTTCAAGGAGACCGTGTAGTTGGATCCTGGAAAAAGACGCAGCTGTCAGCAGAGCAGCCCCTCGTGAATCCCCTTCCCTTTCTCCCCCTTCTGACAGGATACCCCTCTATGAAAACCTATATTTTTCTGGATTACAACATCCACTCCAACGTGTACTCGGATGGAGTTCCACGCCTGTCTTAGCACAAGTGTAAGATGGGTAGCCATGTTAGTCTACCTGTAGCAGTAGAAAAGAGCAAGAGCCCAGCAGCACCTTCAAGACTAACAAAATTTGTGTTGGGGTAGGAGCTTTTGTGAGTCACTGGCTCACTGGAGTGAAGGGAGCCTAGGATTGCCAGGTTCCATCTTCTCCTCAGTGGGGGGATGACACCATGGAGATTTGAACTTGGGTCCCGCAGGTCCTAGGCACTACACCGAGCTGGCTCTTACAATGCTGGCTTCGTGTGTTTCCCCTAAGGAAAAGCCAGTGCGGGAATTTTCATTTCTTTTTGATTCCCTATACTGCCATCTGTTTTGGTTCGTTGCGTTTCCGTTGCTGTTGGTGAAGACTCCTTTGCTTCGCTTATTTATAGTTGATCGATGCAAATGTTAACAATGAAAGTTATCTCCTTTTAACTGGGGGAGAGGAACTAGCATGAACATAAAACCCCATGAGTTTGTTTCTCACAAGGGAGAGATGCGATCAAAACGGAAATATTTGAACCGAACCAGACAGCTTTCGAAATTCGGTCTCATCTCTTCCCCGCCCCCCATTCTCAAAGCATAAGCAGTATACACCTGCTAGAAAACACTTTGATGGGATTCTTAAAGTTTCTTGCACCTGAGCATCCCCTTCTTATTGGGGGGGGGGTCCCACTGCATCCCATGCATCATACAACTCCCCGCTGAGCCATAATTGGTCTCCCCTGGTACTAAACTAAGCTTCATCTGGCCTGTAGCTACAGTGGGGCTATTGGGGGCTCCGCCCCCTTCCTTAAAGGGCCAGCCCCGCAAGATTTCCTTCTGAAAATGGTAAAGGATTTCATTGCTTTAAGCAAGGGAAGGGTGGGGGCGTTTTTGCGTTTCATTTATGTCTGTTGTGGGGGTTGTTGTGAGGGGTGTTTGTGCTGCGTTCAATTTAATTTATTATTAGTATTATTGTCTTTATTATTACTTAAAGGTACAGTTGTTTAGAGGCAGACAGAAAAATAATGGCAGCCCCACCAGATAATTTTTTGCCCCCCAACCCACAAAATCCTGGTTACCGGCCTGAGCTTCATACCATTCCCTTGCACCAGGATGGAGCTATAGTTCTCAAGCATGTGTGTGTGTATGTAAAGAAAGACCAGTGGCTGATGGACCAAGGAGAAAAGCAACTTTGAGAGGGGCAATTTCTAGGGGAGAAATTGGGCAGAGGGAGTGTATAAGGCAGTGCAGTGGTTTCAGTGTCGAATGAGAGCTGGGGAACCCAGATTCGAATCCCCACTCTGCTTGCAGGGTGACCTTGGGCCCATCACAAATTCTCAGCCTGGGCTGCCTCATAGGGTTGTTGTTGTGAGAAGATAGAGTGGGAGAATGATGTTCTAAGCCACTTTGAGTTCCAACTATTGGCAGAGTTCAAGAAATAATCCAATCCCACACTTTGGAGTTCACTTCCAATGACCTTTACTGCAACAGGATTTGCAAAAAGACAAAAGACGACTGCAGGACACTGATACAGGAGGGAGGCCTTCGGCGTACAAGCACTAACTCACACTAACCCACAGCAGAGAGAAAAACAAGAGGCAGGCTGAACTGCAAGATAAAACATTTAATAAACCCCGAACACTAAGGAATGCACCACAGCTCTCCCTAGTGTACAAGTGGACTAAACTACTCTTTCAGCCATATCTATATTAGCTAGAGTCTTAGCAGGCTGTTGCTTCTCCAACACCAACTGGGGAGAAAAGTGGAGCATAAATGAATAAATGCAAATGCATCAGTCTAGGGGAAACTCTGCAAATTGACACTGGGCCTTGAAAAATGGCACCCGAGCACCAGTCTAAAAGTGCGCGGCTTCATGCCCCAGAGCACTTACCTTTGACCGGCCGACCCTGTACGGGAAGCACATATTCATTCCACTGCTGCATGATCTGGTAGGAAAAGTCGAACAAGCTCTTGCCCCCGATTTCGACCTCGTAGGAGCCACTGGGAGACACGGTCACCGACCACGTGCCTCGCTGGTCAATACGAGACACCTTCACAACCTTATGGCTTGCTGTACTGATCACCGTTTCAGTTGACGTTACCTGGGCACCTGCCATGGGGGGGGGGGACACAAAAGTAGACCGAGCTGCAGAATCCTGAGATGATACGAAGTACGTACGTATGTGCCGTTAAGTCACAACTGACTTATGGTGGCCCCTGCATGGGGATCTCAAGGCAAGTGAGAAGCAAAGGGGGTTTGCCATTGTCTTCCTCTGCAGAGTCTTCCTTGGTGGTCTCCCATCCAAGTATCAACCCTGCTTAGCTTCAGATATCTGAGAAGATAGGGATATACCATGCCTCCTTCCCTCTTTCACCACAAATTATCTCCCCTATTATCATAGTAAACTTCCTTGATTTGTTTGGTGTATCGCAGTGTCCCCCTTACCCGAAGGCTGCAGTACACTCATGCTGAATCTGGACGAACTTGTGCTCTTGATGGACACCGTTATTTCTGTGAGAGTCTCATCCACAGGGAAGGAGAACTGAGTCCCGTGCAGACGAGCCCGAGTCACCTTCACAGGGGCAGCGTTCAAGGAGAGCTCCATGATCCCCAGAACCTGGGTAAGCTCGCTCTTTGTGGTCATCATGTAATAACCACCGGAATAAGCGGCAAGCTCTTCATAGAGGTTACTGTACCTGCGGCGAGAGGCCTCAGGACTCTCTTCGTCAACACCTGTGGAGATTTAAGGTATCCAGTGAAACCATCCCACCTCTGTACCTGTGTTCTCAAAATTCCCCAAGGGAACTAATATATTTCAGCAGGAGTGACAGAGAAGTGAACCAGGGGAGGACAATGGTCTCTACACCTTTCTTGTGGGCCTCCCAGAAGCTTTTAGTTGGCCATTGTGGGAAACAGGGTGCTGGACTTGATTGACCATGGGTTTAATTAGCACAGCTTTCTGATATTATTGTGCAATTTTTTTTAGGGAGAAGGCTCTGTGTCATTGTTGAAAAGGCAATGTCTGGTGTACAAAGAAGAAGAGAAGAAGACCCTGCAAGGGGCAGCAAGAGAACAATTAGATAGGATAGTGAGGTCGGTACTTTCTGTCCTGTCAAGTGCCATTCCTAGTCTGTCTCGAGATTGCTACTCTTAGGACAATTTCCCCCTTCTTCTTGGAGGTGCTATACTCAGTCTTACCCTCTTTCTCAGGTAGAGAAGTAGTTAGGATAGGAACCCATCTCTGTCTTTCCTCATTCCTATCAAGTACGTTAATTCCTAAATAAACCTTTATCTACTCTTTAATCAGGTTGTGTGCTGTTGTTGTGTTAATTACTCTGCCAACAGTCATGGGTACAAAATAGATGTGCTTCCAAAGCATCTCATATTTAGTATCTATGGACTGGTCTAATCCAGTGTCCCTTCTTTAGAAGGCAAGAGAGTGCTCTAGAGCAGTGATGGCGAACCTTTTAGAGACCGAGTGCCCAAACTGTGACCCCAAACCCACTTATTGATTGCAAAGTGCCAACACGGCAATTTAACCTGAATACTGAGGTTTTACTTTAGAAAAAACAACTCATACATTAACTTAAGATGATCCAAACAAAGTAAGGAAAGCAATCCCAAATGCTTTCATTTACTTAAAATTATTTGGCAGAGAATTCCGACACTTTAATGATGGCCTGGGCCTGGCTGGGGCGATGGCACGCGTGCCCACAGAGAGGGCTCTGAGTGCCACCTCTGGCACCCGTGCCATAGGTTCGCCACCACTGCTCTAGAGTCTCTGGAAAGTATTGTGAACTAGTAAAAGACTCTATATAAACACAAAACGAACTGTGTGTGTGGAAAAACACCACGAAACCTACCCATGTGAAGTTCCACATATTTAGCATCACATTTAAACTGGGCTCCTGGACCTATTCCAGACACTATGTTATGGCTACAAAAGTAGCTTATGAAGGCCTGATTTAGAGTTGATGTTCAGTGCAAAGGCACAGTGTTCACTATTGAGGCCCCGAGGCTCCATCGACATGTTACAAAGTCTTTGTGTTTGTTGGGGAACAATGTGAGGACGTTGTGTCACCCATGCGATGGGAGTTTTGTGCCACTCAGACACACACTGGCTCTTTCCTGTTGGTGACCAAAGCGGTCAGGGTCATGTTGTTCCCCAACAAACACGAAGACTTTCTAATGTGTAGATAAACTGAGGGAATCAGTCACAGAGAACTGGTTGGCGGGAGCGCCCGTTGCCTTCCAGTAATGGGTCACACCCTGCCTGAGTCCTGTAGTGTTTACCCCACAGCGGCACCCTCCTTGCTAAAGCTTACATACTTCGGCGTTTCCGGCTGGAGCAGTACCCCGTGAGGGCGGAGTTCACCTCAGACCCCGAGGAATCAATCAAGACTTTGATTTCATCCAACAGGGATGCATCTTTTGCTCCAGCATCAGTGAAGATGAAGATCTTGGATCTGAAGAAGGCAGAAATGAAGAAAGGAATTATACACAAGAGGTTCAACAGGGAGGGACGCTGATTGGGCTGCCAACACTGGGTTGGGAAATTCCTGGAGGTTTGAGGGGCACAGGCAGAGGAGGGCGGGGTTTGAGGAGGGGAGGGACCTCAGCAGGGTATAATGCCACAGACCAGTGTTCCCTCTAAGCTCAGTTAGTGTGAGCTAGCTCACAGTTTTTAAGCCTCCAGCTCACACTTTTTTGTCTTAGCTCAGGAAGGATGGCTCCAGAGCAAACTAATTTATGCAGCAGCCAAATCACTCACTCACAACTTTGATGCCAGTAGCCCACAAAGCAGAATTTTTGCTCACAAGACTCCATAGGTTAGAGGGAACATTGCCACAGACTCGCCCCTCCTGGACCCAACCCAACAGGTGTTAAAAACAAAGGAGAGCCCAAATGGGCTCAGAATTCTGCCACAGGGGGAAGAAGGGCTCCTGCCTTCTCTCCGAGGCTATTTTCCCACGGGGAAACTACTCGGATATTTGGCTACAATAGCAGAGTTTTGCCCAGTCCTAGAAGCATGATACTGAGTGCAGTAAACAAATCTCCCAAGCAGAATACTGCAAAATAGGGTAAACTTACATTTATTCAAGTAGATCCAGTTCACAGTCAGGTTGTAGTCGAAAGGGGAGAAAGAAGTCTAGTCTAAAGAGTACTGGCATCATGTGTATGGGAGTACGAGGGCATTGTCTCTGCAGGAGAGACCTGTAGAGGCGTGTGTCTCCATGCAAGGCCATGTGAAGGGATCGTGAGAGGACAAAAGCAGAGAGACAGAGGGGGGGGGAGAGGGAGAGGGAGAGGGAGGGAGGGTCAAAGGGCAACTCCCACGTTAAAGCAAAGAGAGGCATCCCATTCAAGAAGATAACACCTTTATATACTTAGAGTGATGTAGCGCCCCCCAGTGTCCAGGCATGCTGGGTCGCTCACTCCAACAGCAACAGCACCAGCAGTTCCTATCTGACAATGGCATCCGCCAGATTACTGCTGCCCCCTTCCACCCAGCTTCCAATGGTCAGGCCGAACGAATGGTCCGCACGGCCAAAGAAGCTCTGGGACGGTTGACTGAGGGTGATTGGAGTGTGAGGCTAAAAAAAAACATTCCTGTTGCGACAGCACACCACCCCATGTAGCACAACAGGCCGTAGCCTGGCCGAGCTACTCATGGGAAGGCGGCTAACGACCCGCTTAAATAGACTGCACCCCGACCTGAACGAACAACAGGAGGAACGTACCGACTCACATACGAAGGTGCGCATGTTTGAGGCCGGGGACAAAGTTTTCGCCCGGAATTACGCTAGCGGGCACTTATGGATCCCTGGGGAAATATGTGAATGTATAGGCTCTAGAATGTATGTAGTGCTGCTGACCGATGGTAGGAGATGGCGGCGCCACGTGGACCAGTTAAGGAGGTGTTGGGCTAAGGACAGCGCTGACTCTCCGGCTGGGTCCTCCGAAATAGTCTCCCCACCTCCCGTTTTGGAGGAAAATGCAGAGTTACCGAGTACTGCAGGACAAAGCCCTGACATTGAAATAGCAGCCCCGGCCGTAAAAGCGCCTGACTCAGAGTTTGTGGAGCCACAGTTAGACGCCCCGCAAAGCGGAACCGCTGAGCTTGTTCCCCTTAGAAGGTCTCAGCGTGCACACAGGGCACCAACGTATCTAGCTGACTATGATTGCAGCAAACTTTTTAATACTGACTGACAGGCATCGGGTAAAGTGTGATATGTAAATATGACTGTAAAATAAAGATATGATGTCTTAACTTAGGGGGGGAGGAATTGTTATGTACTGACAGTATAACATAAATCACCTAATCCACCTCCCATGTTGAGCTTCGAGCCAGCCAAGGCTCCGACTGTACTCAAAAGCTATTGGTCGCAGCGAAACAGCGACCAATCACAAATGGACTATTCCCTGAGCGGGAAGAGCTCTGATTTGCCCTTATCCTTGCAATCTGATTGGTTGTTATGTATATAGTAAAAAGGTAAAGGTTCCCTTGCTCGAAAGCCAGTCGAGTCCAACTCTAGGGTTGCGGTGCTCATCTCCGTTTCAAAGCCGAAGAGCCAGCGCTGTCCGAAGACGTTTCCGTGGTCATGTGGCCGGCATGACTAAACACCAAGGCACACGGAACGCTGTTACCTTCCCACCGAAGTGGTCCCTATTTATCTACTTGCAATTTCTTGCTTTCGAACTGCTAGGTTGGCAGGAGCTGGAACTAGAGACAGGCGCTCACCCTGTCTTGCGGCATCCGGGTCTTGAACCGCTGAACTACTGACCTTCCGCAGCCTGCAGTTCAGCGTCTTAACCACTTGAGCCACCGGTATGTTTAAAAGGAGCCCAGCTCCAATGTTTTACTGTTCTGGTTTCTGAATGCGTTTGAGTGCTTGTTCGTTACTTCCATTAAAGCTGAATCACTTGCTGAAATCACTCTCTGAGTCCTTTGTTAGAGCGATCTAACAAGTCATTTCCTCATTTCTGCTGCTCCGCAAAAATGAGGAAATGACTCTCCCCCTGGTGCTGTTTCTGCATGGGAAAATGGCTTGGGGCGGAAGGCAGGATAGTAGGGGTGGTGTTCAATGCTCCCTCTAAGCTGTGGAGTCCTGAGTGCAAAAATTCTACTTTGTGAGCTCCTGGCATTAAAGTTGTGAGCGAGCCATTCGGCTGCTGCATCAATCAGTTTGCTCTGGAGCCATCCCTTCCTGAGCCAGGACGAAAATCTGGGGAATCCAGACCCAACTTGTTAAAAACCTGACTGTGTTGCTTGTCCCTTTGTAATGCATAGATGGACCCTGGCCATGGAAGGAGCTGCAAGCGTTAAGGATGGTAAGGGCAACACGGGCAGGTCATTGAAGAGAATCCCTAGAGGTGGCAAGAGGGGAGGAGCAGAGGTCATGGGAAAGGATATATTGGGAGGGAAGCGCAGAAGGATGGTGTGATGCCATTACCTTGGCATGCTCTCATGCAGAGCCAGCTTCAGACCAGTTAACGACATCTCTGGGCAGTCGCCACCCCCATAAACTGTGAGGCCACTAATAAAGGATTCAAAGGCATCCACATCCTGGGTCACATGGACGGGCCCAACATCTGCAGGGTATAGTTACAGTAAGAAGAGGGCAATGAAAACAGACACACCTTAAGCAAATAGTAGTTCAGTTCAGTTTCTGTCTGGTCTTCTGGGCACGGAACGGCAGTTAAAAGTCAAACAAAACACATCACCCATCTGAAATGATGTCCTCATCTGCTCTACCGTGGCTGTGAAAGCTGGCCAGTTTTGTATATAAATCTGTGCAAGTTGTATTAGTGCTCATGGTCTCGCTTAGGGTGTTGCCCACGTTCTACCTTTAAAACTAGTTTCAAACCGGTTTAATTGCCATGTCTTCTGATAACTGTATATTAAACCGGTGTGCAACACCATGCTTTGAATTCCAAAAGTGCTATATAAATATCAAATGGTATCATTTATGGCCGTAAGCCTAAAGGTTATGGCCGTAAGCTGAGGTTTTCAGTTTGCTGTAGAAGGCATACAGTACAGCTGTGAGAAGGAAAAAAATAACTGTTTTCCATGTCCCCTCACCTGGATCATTGAAGGGCACAAGGATGAAGTTATATGGTGCATCCGGGGAACCCGAATACTTTCGAAGGAGTTTGATGCTAACTTCTTTGACCTGTTGGATGTCGTCTGACATGCTGCCAGTCGTATCTATCGCAAAGGTGAGGGAATAGCCATCCAAGCTGAAAAACCTCTGGAAAACATCACGACCCACCAGTTCCAAGAAGCTGGAACCTGAGCAAAGACAGAACACCATCAGTTTATTCTGCAGATCACTTCTTCTTCAACTGGTGCGGTGACAGGTCACGTTGCGAGTACGGACACGGGTTCCAGGCAATGTTCCCTCTAAGCTGTGGAGTCCTGTGAGCAAAAATTCCACTTTGTGAGCTACTGGCATTAGAATTGTGAGCAAGTTATTTGGCTGCTGCATAAATCAGTTTGCTCTGGAGCCATTCTTCCTGAGCTAAGACAAAAACGTGTGAGCCGGAGGCTAAAAAACTGTGAGCCAGCTCACACTAACTCAGTTTAGAGGGAACACTGGTTCCAGGCATGACATGCTCTGGAAACATCCTAGCCCAGAGGTCCCCAACATGGTACCCATGGGTTTCCATGGTGCCCGCCAACACTTTTCCTGATGCCTGTCTAGTGTTTTTAGAAAGCAGGGGGTGCTTTTAGCCAGCAAGTCTTCTGATTGGCCATTGGAGATTTGATTGGCCGTGCAGGTTTTTAAAGACATTGCTTTGACAGCAGCTGCCTTCGCAGTACAAAGATCTTCACTGTATGACTGAAGGTAAGCTGTGGCAGCAGCGATTTTGTGCCTGGTTCCACCCAGGGTTGCCAACCCCCCCGGTTTGCCAGGGGTCCCCCGTTTTTTGGGGGGGTTGTACCCGTTGCCGGCCAGATGGCCGGCGGGGAAGCCCTGCCCCCAACACCCAGAGCCACCCATCTCTCTCCCTTTAAGTGTATGGAACCCGTGTTTCCTCCCAAACCTGATCTCCACAAGCTTGCAGGGAAATGCCAGTTTCGTGCTCTTAAAAGGGAAACGCGGCTGCTCTTAAAGGGGAAACGCCGGCTCCTGCATTTAAAAGGGAAATGCCGGCTCCTTTAAGTGCCGGGAACTGCCGTTTCTGGAGATCCTGCGCACGGGTGGGGGAGGTGGCAGACGTCCCCAATGTGACATCATCACGTCGGGGATGCCCCGCCCCCTCCAGGAACGCCCCCAAAGTCCCCCGCTGGGGGTGGAAGATGGACTTAGCAACCCTAGCCACCTTCTGTGGCGGCCATCTTGTGGAAGCCATTTTGTAGCTGTGCCCACCATGCTGTATCAGAATTCCAAAGGTGCCTATAGGCTCAAAAAGGTTGAGGACCCCTGTCCCAGCCATTATGGACCAAAGATCCAGGGCCCAAAATCCACGCGAGTCATTCTCAGGCAGGGAATACAGAAGTAACTGAAGCCAGTCACCAACTACCAGGTTCTCAAGACACTAGGGCTGCGGACTTACCACTTCCGACAAAGAAGTCCCTGGTGGCCTGTATGGCTAATTCAGCTGCTTTCTTATGCAAATGATAATGAGGAGAGAGTAGGGGGTCAGAGGTCTCTTTGTTGATGCCCCCAGTGGGGGGGTAATTTTGGGTCACGTCATTTCTTCCACCGTGTCCACATTTGCCTGCAGAAAGAACATTGGGTCAGACTAGGTATAAGAATAGTGGGGCTGGATCGAACCAGTGGTTCTCGAAGGCACGCACAGCTCAAACCATTGGGGAAATCCATATATCCATTTTCGCTTAATACAAGGAAGGACTGGATTGAATCTTTAAATAGGCTAGGGTTGCCAAGTGAGAACTGAGCCGCAGTGGGGGACTCCCAGCTGGCGGCTGGAGCACGCGCCGCATCCACATCACCACATTCCCTTGGATGACTGTGGCCCCGCCCCCAGAGTGCCCGGCGTGCCCGCGTCACTTCCGGGCGACGTGCACGTCGGGGTGGAGTTCCCCCCGGGGCCCGATCCACTGGCGGTGGGGAATGGGCCACTGGGGTGGGGTTTTCCCCGCCCCCCGGGGGGACTTGGCAAGTCTAAAATAGGCTGAGTACAATGGCCAATAGTATGAAGGTCTGGTGTAATGATGGCAGGTTCACACATCACTCTTTATTAAAAAAATATATGTGCATGTGTACCTGGAAGTCATGGCAATCTCTGGCGACTGACCCCTACTGGGGGCCTGGAGGATATTTGGAGAGGTGGCTGAATAAAGCCTGCCCCCGTCTCCCGCTTACTGGTATTTCAAGGAGGTCTCCCATCCAAGTGCTTGCCATAGTCAACCCTGCTTAGCTTCTGAGATCTGAGGAGACCGGGCTTGCCTGGGCTATCCAGGTCAGGGCCACACATTGCTCTTAATCTGTGATTTTATGGCTTCTTCCTACCAGCTTTTCCTACAGATAGGGTTGCCAAGTCCATCTTCCACCCCTAGCGGGGGACTTTGGGGGCGTTCCTGGAGGGGGCGGGGCATCCCGACGTGATGACGTCACGTTGGGGACGTCCGCCCCCCACCCGCCCGTGCGGCAGATCTCCAGAAACGGCAGTTCCCTGCACTTAAAGGAGCCGGCGTTTCCCTTTTAAATGCAAGAGCCGGTGTTTCCCCTTTAAGAGCAGCCGCGTTTCCCTTTTAAGAGCACAAAGCTGGCATTTCCCTGCAAGCTTGCGGAGATCAGGCTTGGGAGGAAACACGGGGTCCACACACTTAGAGAGAGAGATGGGTGGCTGTGGGTGTTGGGGGCAGGGCTCCCCCCGCCGGCCATCTGGCCAGTGGTGGGTAGAACGCCCCCCAAAACGGGGGACCCCTGGCAAACCGGGGGGATTGGCAACCCTACCTACAGATAAGGAAGCCTGAAGAGTTCTCGAAGCCCAAGCTGGTAAGGTTACCGACCTCACAGTGCAGCCAGAATCGCAACTGATCTCCAGACTTCCGTTCCCTTGAAGCAAATGGCAGCTCTGGGAGGCGGACTCTATGGCATCACACCCCTGCGGTGCCCCTTCCCCTGCTCAAGCTCCGCCCTTCTCAGGCATTGCCCCCAGATCTCCAGGAATTGCTGAGGCTGGACTTAGCTGCTCTGTTGGTCTGCCCCATTCCTTTCCCCATTTTTGGACAAAGAGTAACCCCTAACCATTCCGTGCTTGTCTTGGCAAGACAGGACAGCTGGTCAACTAGGAAAAGCGGGGCGGAGGGGTTGGCCAGGGAAGAGGAACACATGAAACTGCCTTACACTGAATTCAGACCCTTGGTCCGTCAGGTCAGTCTTGTCTACGCAGACTGGCCGCGGCTCTTCAGGGCCCCAGGCAGAGGTCTTTCACAACACCTAGTGCCAGATCCTTTTAACTGGAGATGCTGGGACCTGGGACTTTCTGCATGCCGAGCAGATGCTCTACAACTGAGCCACAGCCCCTCCCCAGCAGTCCCTAATTCTCCACAATGAGGAGCGCCCCCCACCGAAGGTGATTATGCAATAGCTGGCCCTTCTTCTTGAAGCACAGGGACAGGTAAGAAGGAGCAGTGAAGGCCTCAAATCTCTCCTGGTGGCAAGGACAGCTGCCGGAATCCTTCGGGGCTCCAAACGTAGTGACCGGGGGCTGACTTTGCAAACTTGCTTGTTAGAAGCCAACCTGCCATTAGCCATTTTCTCTGGCTAGGCAGAGGTGGTCCTGAGGATTTCTAGGTAAACATATGTATGCAAGGGATGTTGTGGGCTTCACAATACTTTAGTGAGTCGTGTGCTTGATGGGACAACAACACAAGCACCCTACCTACCATGACTGGCAAAAATAAAATGATCTTAGCAACAAAAGCCGGTGTTACCTTGAGGTTTGGTCTTGCATGTTGCGGATAACTTGTACCCACTTGTGAGCAAATCATCCACGAGTATGTTCCCTTGGCACAAGTACCGGCCGCTGTTAAATGAAGAAGTAGATAGGTAAACAGCTTTGTGTGTGTGCAGAGGGACTAAGAGCCCATTCCAAACCCGCTTAAGATAAAGAAAGCAATCCAGCCAGAACTGACATTGTAGACTAAAGTTTACACTTGTGCACATTGCAGCTGAACCTGGATGTCTCAGGCTAGCCTGATCTCGTCAGATCTCAGAAGCTAAGCAGAGTGGGCCCTGGTTAGTACGTGGATAGGAGACCACCAAGGAGGTCCGGGGCTGCTCTAGAGATTCAGGCAATGGCAAACCACCTCTGAACTTCCCTTGCCTTGAAAACCATATGGAGGTCACCATCAGAGGTCATTTCGGGGGGGATCGCAGGGGATTGCAGTTCCCCCGGGTGAGGTACGGGGGGCGGGGCACATGACGAAGCCCCGCCCCCTGCTTTCGGCCGCCCCACTTCCGTCCCTCATTCAGCCAGGAGGAGTCAGGAGAAGAGGGAGGGTAAGTTGCTTCCTCCCTGCCTCTCCCCACCCCTGCCTGCCTGGGGCCAGGGAGGGTCTTTGCGGGGCTTCCTTGCACTCCCGTCGGCCTTGCAGGTCCACCACCGGGCCCCTCATGGGGCTCGGCAGTGGAGCTGCAAGGCCTGCGGTGGTGGCCGGGACCGTTGGGGGCGGGGTGTGTGGCCTTATGACACACTTCCGGTGATGTCAGGGGGTGTGGCCTTATGACACACTTCCGGTGATGTCAGGGGGTGTGGCATATGCTAATGAGTTATGCTAATGAGTTCCCCTAGCTCTTTTTCTACGAGACGACCCCTGGTCACCATAAATCGGTTGCAACTTGATGGCACTCTCCAGCACCCCCAAAAGCAGCTACCTTCTACTGAGTCACACTGTCAGTCTTTCAAGATCGACACTGTCTGCTCTGACTGGCAGTGGCTCTCCCGGGTCTCAGGCAGAGGTCACATCACTCACTAGGGTTGCCAGGTCCACTTATCTGGCTGGCGGGGGGCTTCCGACATCCTTCCGGGAGACCAGAAGTGATGTCAGGTGACTTCTTGTAAAACCGGAAGTGCAGACCCTGGCATGATGATGTCACCTGGAAGTGATGTCATCACATCAAGGGTAGCACTCTGTTTTTTGGGCAAAACTCTATGGTAAATTTGGGTTCAAACCATAGCGTTTTGCCCACAAACCAAAGCGTTGCTCCCCAACGTGATGACATTGTTAGAGGGTGACGTCATCATGTCGGGGTCTGCACTTCCAGTTTTACCAGATGTCCCCCGAGAAGGTCAGTTGAGGATGGGTTTTTCCCTCAGCCAGTGAGCTGGCTGGTGGTGGGCAAGAGCCCAGAAAAGCGAGGGTTCCCCTACCCCCTCCGGGGGACGGGGAACCCTGTCGCTCACTATATGTTCCTTTTAACTGGAGATGCCAGGGATTGAACCTGGGACCTTCTGCATGCAGAACAGATGTTCTACCACTGAGCTATAGCCCCTCTCCCTAGTCTTAGCTCTAAATTGTTGAACACCAGTACAGTTCAGTGACTGGACTTATCTGGGTTCAGGTTCTCCTTCTGTCATGGACATATTAAGAATATCGGCACTACAAACTTTATGTTGGTTTTATCCGGATTTAACTATTCATGGCATCCCTCAAAGAACTGTGGGAATGACAGCTTGGCAATGCATGTGCAGTCCCGATCCAACCCACATGTCAGAGAAACGAGGAGAAAAAATGAAATAGAAATGGGGGTTGGCTATGTAGCTTGATGTTAGAGATATCACACAAACAAGACAATAGGCACCATTGACAATTTCTCCCGCACAAATTAGATATGGTAGGGTGTGAGAACTGCATTTTCTGAAGAAGTCACTATTGTGGGTTTTTTAAAAAAATTTGGAAATCAACAATTTTGCATCAACAGCCGTGCTTTTGAAAAGCCGCAAAATTCCCCATAGCAATCATTACACTCTATAAGCATCAGAACAAATTCTCTGGGCCAAGCTACACAATATGTTTTTATAAAAAATTGGGTCTTGGTTCCCACACTCAAACAGCTGTAAATAACTGTTGGATATTGCCGCATGACGGAGTGAGCTCCCGTCTCTAGTTCCAGCTCCTGCCAACCTAGCAGTTCGAAAGCAAGAAATTGCAAGTAGATAAATAGGTACCTCTTTGGTGGGAAGGTAACAGCATTCCGTGCGCCTTGGTGTTTAGTCATGCCGGCCACATGACCACGGAAACATCTTTGGACAGCGCTGGCTCTTCGGCTTTGAAACGGAGATGAGCACCGCAACCCTAGAGTCGGACTCGACTGGCTTTCGAGCAAGGGAACCTTTACCTTTACTATTGTAACTCTGCATGCAAGAGGATCTGGGAGGGAAAGCGTTCAGAGAATTCTCCCCCTGGGGTACACGTGGCAGTTGACCCCCCCACCCTCTCATCACTCAGACTGATTCTGCTTTGGCTTTTCCCTCCGCGGTTTTACGAAACCCAGGTTGGAACAGGAATTCCCCTCTTCATTGCATGCTGCTTTCACTTCCTTCGATCATTGGATGCTACCCTCCAGACTGCATGGCACTCTGACTTCCTTTAATCATATCAGGTTTTATGGTACCTTCTGCATAGATCTATGGCCCTTTTATGGCCATTCAGGGGTGACTTTGCAGTCAGTATGACATTGCCCTGAGGTATCTGAATGTGGTTTTGAGCTGCACTTTCCCCTCCCAGCTGAGAAAATGTGGAGCGAATGCTAGATGCAGAACTGATCTTAGATGCTGAGCCTCTTCGGCCCTTGCTTGCCCTTTGGTTTCATCTTATATGGGACCTCTCTTCTTCTTCTCTCTTACCTGGGCTTGAAGCTGTAGCAAGTTAACCTTTTTTGAAATTATTCTGTTCACAATGTTAAATGTACCTACATGAATATGTCTTGTAAGATGTGCTTCTGTTTTTGTAGGTAATTTCCCCCCCTCTTGCTACCACTGGGGTTGGGTCATCTTTGTAATTTGCTTGAACAGCATTTTGAGAGCCACTTTAGGATAGTGGTTAAGAGTGGTGGACTCTAATCTGGAGAACCAGGTTTGAGTTCCCATTCCTCCAACATGAAACCTTCTGGGTGACCTGGGTCAGTCACAAGTTCTCTCAGAGCTGTTCTCTCAAGAGCAGTTCTCTCAGAGCTCTCTCAGCCCCACCTACCTCACAGGGTGTCTATTGTGGGGAGAGGGATTGTAAACCGCTCTGAGACTCTGAGTGAAGGGCGGGGTATAAATCCAATCTCCTCCTCCTCCTCCTCTTCTTCCCCTTAACCGGGAAATATGGAGAATCAAGGATACTGCAAAAAAGCTTCTGTGCTTCTAAGGCAATTGACTTTTTACATTTAATCCAGCAATAACTCCCCTTGGAGTTGTTTCAGCTTGGGAAAGATGTGCTGGGGGAAGGCAGGAACCCCTCCTCCCCCTGCGCTATGGCCCTAAGCCGGGTCAGGACCCTGCAGAGTTCGAAAAGGGCATTCCCTGTAGGGGAATCCCTGACCCAGTTTATTAAAAAGTGTATCAAGTAGTTTGGAGCGTATTCTTAATTCTCATTCTGTAATTTAGGAATAATAATAAATCTACTACCTCATCAGTTTCCCGTGAAGATAAACAGTGTAAAGATGATTAAACAAGGCTGAAAGATTTAGGTGCCAGAGCAATGTTTAACAAGACAAGGAATGTAGAATCTGTTATTTCGAAAGGCGTGTTCTGAACTTTCCACTGGTTATGTCTGCATAGTTGTGCGAGTGTGTATCTGTACTACGAGACACAGTTCTGGCATGGATGTGATCTCGACACGAACTGTGGGCCAGAATATGCATGCAGCAGAATTAAACACCAACGCCTTTTTTGGACTGCTCTGTTTTAGCTGTGGGAGGAGGGGGTGGGCTGCAGCCTTTAATTTCTTTTTTTTAAAGCCTGACATGACAATGGTAGTCCCAACCTTTATCTTCATGCATGGATCATCCCCTTCTCAGTATGAGCCCCAAACTCTTGGGTCTTGAGCAGGGCTTTTTTTCCCCCTGGGGGAATGCGCTGGAACAGAGTTCCACAACCGCTTTGACAAAATTCTTTTAAAAATGTTTAAAAGTTCATGAGTTTTCACTATATAGATTGAAAACTTCATTTCCCTCTTAAGAGTTCCGGCACCTCGCACCCCCCCCCCCCAAAGCCCTGGTCTTAGACAAGATGAAGATAATATGTTTGGGTCTGTAATTGCAGGCTCATGCTCCCTCAGTTTGCCTCAGGGCCATGAAGAGAGAGGGGATTAACCCTTCCGCTTCTGTTTGGATTTGGTCTTCAAAATTGGCTCCCCCTCTCTTAAAGGGGGGAGAGGTGTCCTTTAAAAAGGGCTCCCCACCCCTGCCTGAGGTTCAGAGACTTGATATTTGGTCGTGTCTTGCGGGATTTTTTGCTGTTGGCAAGAAACTGCATCTATATCCCCTCATTTTATTGGTAGGATTGCCAGTGGGACAGGAAAATGTCTCCTTAACTGAAGTTTAAAGAGTGGAAATGGGGAGCAGAAGCTTTTTACTACATGAAGTTAAAAAACGTGATCATTACTTGATGGTCAAAATAATATTAAAGGGACAGCTAGAGGGACCGGTTTAAAAGTTGGCCAGTTTAAAAATCCTTACCTTGATTCTTTGGTGCAATCTGTGCAGGTTGTCTTGGAAACAGGGGCAACAGGGAACACAGGATGAGTTGCATTTACTGGGGACACATAAAGAGATGGGGAAAGCCCTTTTAAAAGAGCTGAACACAAAAAGTACAGTGGGGGAAGAACATGAGCTGGTATTTCCCACCAATCTCTTTTAAAATCATCCCCCCTAGGGCTGCCAACTTTGGGTTGGGAAATCCTGGAGATTTGGAGGGTGGACCATGAGGAGGGTTTGGGGAGGGGAGAGACCTCGATGGGGTATAATGCCACAGAGTCCACCTTCCAAAGAAGCCATTTTCTCAGTCCCCTGGAGATCAGTTGCAATAGCAGAAGATCCCCAGCCACCCCCTGGAAGTTGGCAAAACCATCTCCCCTTTATTCTATGACTCAGTGATTATGCTACTCAGTGGGGTTTTCGAAATTTCTTCAGTTTCTTCATTTCCAGCAATAGAATCCTGTCTTCTTCTGTTCTCCCTACCAAAGCAAAAGCTGTTTCCTCCTATGGCAACTCCACAGTAGTGGTCACTTCTAACAAAGTGAAGAACTTTGCACTCTCTCGTAGCCTCAGACTTCACAGTGTTCCCTCTAAGCTGAGTTAGTGTGAGCTAGCTCACAGTTTTTTAGCCTCTGGCTCACACATTTTCGTCTCCGCTCAGGAAGGAGGGCTCCAGAGCAAACTAATGTATGCAGTAGCCAAATTGCTCGCTCACAACCAGGGCTCTTTTTGTAGAAAAAGCCCAGCAGGAACTCACTAGCATAATAGGCCACACCCAACAGTAAAACTCATTAGCATATTAGGCCACACCCCTGACAGCACAGCTCATTAGCACATTAGGCCACACCAAGTGTGGTTATCCAGCCACACCCACCTTTTGCTTGTTATTCTGTTTACCTTGTTTGTTGTCAAAACCCAGGGCTTTTTTTGTAGCAGGAACTCCTTTGCATGTTAGGCCACACACCCCTAATGTAGCCAATCCTAATGAGTTTCTGCTGTTGGATATGGCCTATTTTGCTAATGAGTTCCTGCTGGGTGTGGCCAACTTGGAAGCCAGCTGGAACTCAGTTCCTGTGCGTTCCTGCCCCAAAATAGCCCTGCTCACAACTGTAATGCCAGGATCTCACAAAGTAGAATTTTTGCTCACAAGACTCCACAGCTTGGAGGGAACATTGCTTCAGAGGGAGGCTATAGAGAGCTAGAGTGATAGATAGGTTAAGGTTAGGACCCACCCGCATCTCTTCCTTTCCTGCTGCTCTGATGCTACTCCTGTGATGTGTGGATTGCTACTCTTCTGGTGGGTTGCTACTCTAGCACCTTCTGCCCTTTCTTCTCCATCTTGCTTTTCGGCATCTCCCTCCGTCCCCATTTAGCAGCAGTTCAGAATGCCATTTCTATCTTATCTTGTCTAGAATGGAGTTCCTTCAATAAAGGTCTCTCAGTAGTTTGCTAAAATACAAAGGTTCCGTGCATAACTTTACACTATACAGCAGCACCACCCCCCGCCCGGCAATTCCATTGTGCAATGTGTCTTGAGAGCTTTGGTAATATTTCCATGTGACATAACGAGACAGGCGAGATACTTCAACATTCATAACTGGAAATGGAAAACAAAGGGGGGGAATTAACCCAAATTTAGGCTGAGATCACACACACTAAATAATCCACGTTCAATCCACTTTCCAAATGGATTTTTACTGTGTGAACGGGCAAAATACAGTTCAAAAGTGCATTGAAAGTGGATTGTTTAGTGTGTGTGTGTGTGTGTGATCGCAGCCTTAATTTAATTAAGAAAAAGTTTCAGAAGATCTGAATTCATAGGCTCAATAATTCTGTTGGTCAAATTAAAAACGTTAAATATTGACACAGATATACAAAATATACACTTAAGAACATAAGAACATAAGAGACGCCAATGTTGGATCAGGCCAAAGGCCCATCCAGTCCAACACTCTGTATCACACAGTGGCCAGAAATACCAGTGCCATCAGGAGGTCCACCAGTGGGGCCAGGACATTGGAAGCCCTCCCACTGTTGACCCCCCCCCCCAAGCACCAAGAAGACAGAGCATCACTTGCCCCAGAGCCCCTATCTATACCTTGTGGCTAATAGCTACTGATGGACCTCTGCTCCATATGCACTTAGGTGGTCAGCCGTGTTGGTCTAAAGCGGCAGAACAAAGTTTGAGTCCAGTAGGGCACCTTTAAGACCAACATAGCTTTATTCAAGGTATAAACTTTCGTGTGCAGGCACACACGTCTTCAGATAGTCATCCGGAACAGTTTATTGTGACTTACACAGGTATTCGTATGGCTTGGTGTTTCCCAGCTCTATCCAATTGGTATTGCTGTAGAATTTTTGAAGAATGTGGAGGGCTTTTCCTGTGCTTAGGCGAGCTGATTCCAAAGCTGCTGAGGTCAACGGGCCTTTCAGACCAGAGAGCACAGAGTCCTGCAGGACTCGAAACTGTTGGATACCTGGAGATCAGGAGCAAATCGGGGCTTAATGCTGCTTTCTCATACCTTCCTGGAATGCTTCCTTTCTAAAATGGAAAAGGAGCAGGGGGCAGAGCCCAAGTGGACGTTATACCCTCTTCCCTACCATCCCTGACTCCAATCCAAGGTGGGTAACCATCAAGGGCCTCTTTTGCCCCGGAAGAGGCGGATGCCTAGGCGGTAGGGTTGCCAACCTCCAGGTGGTAGCTGTAGATCTCCTGGGATTACGGCTGATCTCCAGGTGACAGAGATCAGTTCCCCTGGAGAAACTGGCCATTTTGGAAGGCGGGCTCTATGGCATCATACCCCCACTGAAGTCCCTCCCCAAACCCCAACCCCGCCCTCCTCAGGCTCCACCCCCAATATCAGGTATTTCCCAAGCCGGCGCTGGCAACCCTACTGGGTGGGGGGAGAGGGCAGTGGCTGGTGGACTCTGGTGTGAGTACAGCAAATAGCAAACATTTAATCTTTTATTGTTGGCATTCGGTAATACAGTGGGAACCTCCCGTCTGAATGAGCTTCATAAGGAAGTGGAGGAGAGAGAGTAGACCCCAGAGATTCTGTGAAGAAGAAGAAGAGGAGGAGGAGGAGGAGATTGGATTTATACCCTGCCCTTCACTACCCAAAGGAATCTCAGAGCAGTTTACAAACTCCTTTCCCTCCCCCTCCCCACAACAGACGCCCTGTGAGGTAGGTGGGGCTGAGAGAGCTCTGACAGAAACTGCTCTTTTTCAAGAACAGCTCTGACAGAACTATGGCTCATCCAGCCGGTGCAAGCGGAGGAGTGGGGAATCAAACCCGGCTCTCCCAGATTAGAGTCCGCCCACTTAACTACTACACCAAACTGGCTCTCTGGGTCATGATGTTGTTCTGTTACCTCCCACCCCACACTTCCCAGGGTTCAAGAGAGTCTGTGGGGGCCCCCGGCAGAGGAACCCTGCATGCACTGTGCAGCCCCTCATGGAGCAGTTTGGAGAAAGATGCAGTGGGGCTCATGGCTGAGTCCTCCAGCCTGGCTCCGGTCAGCCGATAGGGAGGTCAGGTGTCCCACACTTCAGCAGGGGAGCCCCCCCGCCTTCTTCCGGCTTTGCCCACCGCTGCTCAGCTGGATGAAGAGGGGAAATTCCACAGGAAACTGGGGGCCAACCAGTCTTGCACCAACTGCCCTGTAGCCAGAAATTTTGGGTTGATGGGGCATGGGGAAACTGGGGGAGGGCAGCAGGGGAGGAGGGAGGGGAGAGGGGTAGCCACACACACCTTTCCTGAACTTCGACGATTTTGCCGCTTGAAGCCCCCTGTAAAAACTGTTTTTCAAGCAAGGGGCTGCCCATGCCTGAACTTGCCACTTGGAGTTCAGGGAAGGTGTGCAGGCAGCAGCCACCCCTCTCCCCCCCTGCAAGATTTAAAGGGCCCGCTGATTGGCTGGAGGGCCCTTTAAAACTTGGAGGAGGGGAGGGAGAGGAGTGGCTTCAAGATTTAAAGGACCCTCCAGGTGATTGGTGGGCCACAGGAGGGGAGGTTGTTTAATGTCACAGGAGGGGAGGGAGGGGGGAGGAGGGGCAGCAGCTGTTGTGGGGCGTGCCTCACTTTTGAGGGGGCTGAGCCCCAAAATGCCCTACCTTAGCCCCACCTGTGCACCAATGTGGTGATGTTGCCTTCAGTATGATCTGGAAGTGACATTATCACGTTGCTGATGCTCTCGATCTCTCCCCAAATTCTATGGTTATATCATAAACTTTTGGGCCAATGCCTGGTTATCAACTCTTCATGGTGACATCACTTCCAGGACGCAGAGGAAGTCAATCACTTTCATTCACGATTAAATCAGTCCCCCCACCCAAAGACCCTCTTCCCACTCTGGCCCTCCAAAAGGCCCAGCCACCCCTACTTTTGCCGATGTCTTCGCAGTGGAAAAAGAAGCTGCTGTCCTCTGTGTGATAGATCTCCACTTGATTATTCCCATCGATGATTTCCTTAAGAGCTTTGGTGAACCGGTTGGGAGAGACGTCAGCTGTGCATGGGAAGAAAACGGCAAATCACTCTGGGATCAATATATAATGGAAAATATCACCGGAAAACGTGCCACTGCAAAAACAGGACTTCATGACAAGAGATTCAGTGTAAAGTGGTTCCCAATCCTCACCTTTTTAGAAAGAGAACAGTTCATACCGCCCCCATGGAATGACTATATTAAATGGTTCTGAAGGTCGTAAAAAGGCAAATTACATCAGTCAGTATAACACGATACACTGCAAAATTTAAAACTGAATAAGTTAATTATGCAGGACACTAACTAACATCAACATAACAATCCTAGTCAATCCAAACCTCAACATCTTCAAATTACTCCAAAGTACACTTGAAATTTTAGAAAGCTTTATACTTACTCGAATCTAGTTAATACTTACCTTGTTTTTAGTCAATGCTGTAATGTATTTGTTACTCACCAAGCTTTGTATTACACTTGAAATTTTAGAAAGCTTTATACTTACTCGAATCTAGTTAATACTTACCTTGTTTATAGTCATTGCTGTAATGTATTTGTTACTCACTATGCTTTGTATTACAATGTCTAAAACAAAGCTGTTCATGCTTACTTCATCATTTGTATTAAATCCTCAACTTCAATAAAAACTTTGAATTTTAAAAAAAACTTTGATTACAAGGAGCAAGTGGCTGGCATCCATTGACGCATTTCTGCAGATGGACGGTTTTCTGTCGCTGAATGTAGGAGGAGATGGGGGTTCTCTAGGAGGACAGTGGGGTGGGTCTAGGGTAAAGAAAGTCTGGTCCCTACCTTGGAAGTAAGTCTTGAATAGTCCAGTAGCAGTCAGTGGCTTCATAAATTCTAGCTTTCCAGGTTCCATGGCAGGTTTTCCAGGCAGGGGGTTCCTCTCCATGTACCAGGCAACAGCCCGTAGCACCCCCATTTTGATGATGTCGGTGTCTGTGAAGTCACTCGGGGCAATGCCCCCCGATTCGTGGTTGGGACGGAATCCGGCCACCATGCCTGCCCACAGGAGCCAAAGGAGTTCTCTGGGGAGCAGCATGTCTTGTGGTGAGGAGCAAGCAGGAGCTTGGCGGAGGGCAAAGAATGGAAAGATCCCCGGGTCTGTCTTGCTAGGTGTGCTGCCTCTGCTCCGGCATGCACCCTTTGCCCTGCCGGTGAAACAGCTGAGGCGAGACCAGGGAAATCCCCTTGCCGCTCAGCCCATTTCCTTATTGTCAACAGGGCAAAGGATCCAGGAGAGCCCAGCCCAGCTCACCAATCACTGTACTTCTCAGAATAGTGGGAGATGGGTACAAACGGAGTTTCTGAAAGGTTGCCTCTTCTTTTCTTGTAGGGGCGATTTCTCACTAGAGCTGCCTCGCGGCACAGCTGCTGTTTGCCTCGACACAAGTATGTCAATTTCACACCCGAGGCTGCGGGGCTGCACTTTGACTTGCCCGATTTCCTCCGCAGTTTCGTGATCCTGGTTTTTGCAGCCCCACAGCCTCAGGTGTGAAATTGACATACTTGTGTCGGGGCAAACGGCGGCTGTGCCGCGAGGCAGCTCTAGTGAGAAATTGCCCTGAGATTGTTGTAGTGAGTGACTCCGCATGCCTGGACACTGAGGGGCGCTACATCACTCTAATTGTGCATAGGGATGCCTCTCTTTGTCTTAACCTGGGAGTTGCTCTCTGACCCCTCCTCTCTTTCTCTCTCTTCCTTTGTCCTCTCACGATCTCTTCACATGGCCTTCCATGGAGACACATGTCTCTGCAGGTCTCTACTGTAGATACAATCCATTGGTGATAGCGAAAATACTCTTTAGATGAGGCTTCATTGGGCAATTCTGCATCTAGCATTCGCTCCACATTTTCTCAACTGGGAGGGAAAAGTGCAGCTCAAAACCACATTCAAATACCTTGGGGCAATGCCGTACTGACTGCAAAGTCACCCCTGAATGGCCATAAAATGGCCATAAATCTATGCAGAAGGTACAATAAAATCCTATGATCAAATAAAGTGAAAGCGGCATGGAGTGCGGAGGCTACAATAAAATCCGATGACCAAAGGAAGTGAAAGCAGCATGCAATGCAGAAGGGGATTTCTGTTCCAACACGGGTTTTGTAAAACAACGGAGGGAAAAGCCAATGTAGAATCAGCCATTCTCTTCTTTTGACTGCAACCTAATCTACTTGAATAAATGTAAGTCTACCTTTTTTGCCGTATTCTTCTTGGGAGATTTATTTACTGTGCTCAGTATCATGCTTCTATGGCTGGGCAAACTCTGCTATATTAACCAACTATCCCAATAAGGATAATGGCATCTCAAGCAGCTACTTGATAGGCAAACCCTTACAATGCACTTTCTTTCAAATGGCAATAGGGGGGAAAGCGGGACTATTCTACCACCTCCGCGTTCTACCACCTCATTCTGTTGCCTGTGCAGATAAGGCCTTACACTTAGTGGACTAGAGACAGATCTAGAGACAGGAGGGGTCTGTGACAGGAAGGAAGTGGCCACACTGAGGCCCAGCAGGTTGTTCGTTCTACCAGGTGTGGTTTCTTCAATTTTGTGACTTGGCAACCTAAGAAGACATCAAAAGGCACAGACAGTGAAAGGTTGGGGAGGCGAAAAGAGCTGAATTTCACATATTGATTTGGACTTAACCAGCTTGTTCTTGGGCCAAAGGCTTTCCATAATTATTTAAATGACAGTGTAATGACAGTGTAATGAGGATATAAAAAAACTTCTACCAGCATGATTACACATTCGAGTGGCTACCTATCTATCCAATTCTGAAGCTGGCCCTAGAGTGCGGGTTTAATAATCCACACAAGTTTAGGAGCCGACAGATGGAGCTGGGGGGATGTTCGTACGAACTTGATGGAAATATGAAAAGTGTTTAAAAAACAACAACTAAAAACCTGAAATGGAGAACTTCAAAAGAGTTGACTGAGATCTTACAATAGTATGATTGGCACTGTGTGGTTGCTTAGCAGCCAAGGAATTGAGGAATAAACCACTGCAGATGACCTAGCAATTGGTCAAGGAGAAGTGGGGGGGGGAAGTGGTGATGGGATGTAGAAAATAGTGACAGAAGAGGGAAGGAGAGAACGGTGATGGGAAGGATCCCTCTATCTTGTTTTATTGCTGCTGAGAGTGTTGAGTGCAATCAGATATATATAAAAATGTGGGTTTGGTCCCAAAACAGTATTTCACAAGGGAACTGATGGACACTTGCTAATTCCCAGTTTCTCCCTTCCTCATTGGTATTTCCCCCACTCCATTGCACACCCCTCCAATCAAGAAGAAGAAGAAGAGATTGGATTTACACCGTGCCCTTCACCCAGAGTTTCAGAGCAGTTTACAATCTCCTTTCCCTTCCCCTCCCCACAACAGACACCCTGTGAAGTGGGTGGGCCTGAGAGAGCTCTCCCGAGAACTGCTCTTGAGACAACAGCTCTGAAAGAACTTGTGACTGACCCAAGGTCACGCCAGCAGCTGCATGGGGAGGAGTGGGGAATCAAACCTGGTTCTCCCAGATTAGAGTCCGTGCTCCTAACCACTACACCAAACTGGCTCTCACCATTTTATTCACCCCCTGTCCTGTTTCTGCTTTCCCCACCTTGTCACCAGTTTCTCCTCCCCTTCCTCTTGGATGATTGTTAGGGTGTGTTGTTGTTCGGCCCAGTGCATCCGTGTGCATGTGCATGTGTAAAGAAAGCAGGAATAGGAGGGAGGAAAGAAAAAGAGGTGGCAGAGGGGAGGACAACAGGGGAGAAAATGGGGGCTAGCAGGTGGGAGACGGGATTTTTCCCCCTAAGAGTGTTCATGTGTCCCCCGCTTGTATACCTTTTATATGGTGTAGTGGACAGAGTGTTGGACTAGGATTGGGGAGACCCAGATTTGAATCCCCACTCCTGTCATGGAAGCTTGCTGAGCGACTTTGGGACAGTAACTCACTCTCAGCCTAACCTACCTTACAAGGTTGTTGTGAAGATACAGTGCTGGAGGAGGGGAGAAGGGATGCTGTAAACCACTTTGTGAGATTATTCTGTGTATTGGATGCATTGTAAGGACCCGCATGCTCTGTATAGGCACGACTCATTGGCTCCCCCTTCTGTGTGAAAGAAACGGCAATGTAACTTTTGCAGACAGCTGCATACAAGTGGGGATCTGATCCTAACTCCCCAGTGCCGCAAGTGCGTTGGCCATGATGAGACAGCCCAGGAATCCTAGACCTACTTCAGCTCCCCCTTCCAGTCTTTATGCTCCACAGTTTGCACCTTTATCCGAATCCAGCTTGAGGAGGGCGTGTGTAGTTGGGTTCACACAGGACTGGGTAACTGGGCTCTCTCAAATGCTATTCCAGTCGCTGAGTTTTCGTTAGATTAATTTACAAGCCTTCCAGGAATGAACAAGGGACAAAGTCTACCAAGGAGGTAGGTAAATCCCAAGTCAGTCTTCATGGAAGCCTCCTTGTCGCACCTCTGGCCTATCCCTGGGAGGGGCTATGCTCAGGGTTAGAGCACAGGCATTGTTTCTGAAAGGGCCCAGCTTCAGTGTTTTGTAGCTCCCATGAAAGGAACTCAGGTGTGGGAAGAGATCTTTGTCTGAGAACCGTGGCCCTCCCAGAGGAGACAATGCTGAGCTAGTTGGAACCTTAATAGTCTGGATGAGTATAAGGGAGTTTCTTTCATTCCTCTCCAGTTTTAGGTTGCAGCCTATTGGCTTGCAAGATTAAAGCTGTGACTTATCCTGATTCTTTACGAGTGTTATTCAGATAGATCCAGGTGGGGTAGCCATGTTGGTCTGAAGCAGCAGAACAAAGTCTGAGTCCAGGGGCACCTTTAAGACCAACAAAGTTTACTTCTGGGTATAAGCTTTTGTGGGTATGCACACTTCTTCAGATACAGTGAAAATGTATCTGAAGAAGTGTGCATGCACACGAAAGCTTATACCCAGAAGTAAACTTTGTTAGTCTTAAAGGTGCCGCTGACTGGACTCAAACTTTGTTCTGCTGTTTGGTGAACTGGATGAACTTGTAAAGCTTGTGTGAGGGCTGAACTAGATGTGGCAGATTCCTCATATCTGACATGGAGCTACCATCATTTTAAAACCTAAAATGAGTGATTTAAACATGCTGCGAGGGCCCAGTCATAGTGGAATGAAATGGTCTTCTACCCCCAAGACCTTTTCAATTGCTGAAACAGTTGTATGTGTGTGTGTGTGTGTGGCCTTTGGCACTTGAAAAGGCACATGGAGGGGAAATGAGAGCGCCTCATCCTGTTGTGCTGCATGCCCATCAGGATCGGGCCTTTGCAGGCTTTTTAAAGGCTGGACCAGATGTTTCTCCACTGAAAGTGAGGCAACTGAGAGAGAGGGAGAGGGAAAGAAGATGCTGAAGGTTAGGTTGGGGGCAGGAGAGAAGAACAGGGGAAGAGGAGTCATATACTCTGCCTGTGTTGAAGAGGGAGGGCCCGAGGCTGCAGGCCTACATTCCTGAGGGACCGCCTTTCCCCATATTGTTAAGTCGCTCGCTTAACAAAGTAGTCGGAGAGTGATTCCGCAAAGATTCAGCTTTATTCAACAACTTGAACACAACTCCAACACGGATAGCCAGAACAGCTTTTACATTGCAGCTGTTCTGCTTTTAAACTCTCCCGGCTAATGTAGCCACACCTACTGTACAAATACCAACCAATAAGGTTGTACACATAAGGACCAATCACGGACGTTCCCGCTCAGGGAGCTTGCTGACAAGTGATTGGTTGGTTCTTCCTGGGCTAGCAATGCGATTGGATGTATTTGGATCCTAGCCCAGGACGAAGCTTAACATGGCAAGTCAATTATGTTGTTCACATACAGTTATGCATTCAATGGCAGCTATTGAATACATTACAAACTCCTCCCCCCTAAGTAAAAACATTTATGTACATTCATAACCACTTAGG